TGATTTTTCTTTAAGGAATTATTACCCCCGGAAAAGCTATCGGCGAATCGACCAAAAACCGGGTGCCCACCTGCTGCTCGGCAAACAGAGGCGTGTGTTTTGCTCTCTGGATTGTCACGTCTCAGGTCTCTGATCGTCCAGTACAATGGACTCTGACCTGCCTCGCTGTAGCACATCCTATCGCCTTGAGTTTCAGCCTAAAGCAACACTTAAGTTAGTCTTCAAACACCATTCGTTTCAGTTTCTAAGAATGAGGAAGTGTTGTAGCCCTTATTTTGTGGCCTCTGGTTTCCTTCCCCCAACACTTTCTGGGTCTCTCACCTCCTTTTACCTCTCTCTCGCTTCCCTTTCCCTCTTGCAAATGAGTGGCATTACCTGCTTTTTCACAATGTGTGTGTGTGTGTCTGTCGTTGGAGGCTTCATGTGCTTCTCGTTTTACTTGCAGAAACGGACACTGAAATAATAGTAATAATTCTTGCCTTTGACACAGCGCCTTATCGCGTCTTCAAGACATTTCAAAGCGCTTCACAGAATATACTGTAAAGTATAGTGACTGTGTTTTGTGGACGAAACCCGGCAGCCAATTACGCGCAGCAGCGTCCCCACAAGCACCTGTGGATTGAGGGATCAAATTATTATTTATATTTTATTGGAGCGATTATTGCCCCCGGAAAGCAATCCGCTAATCAGCCTACAACCGGGTAAACAGAACCGTGTGGAGTAAGAAAACTTGCCTAAGGTTTTGCTCCTCCCGGGAATCGAACCCAGGTCTTCTCGCTTGCGAGGCGAGTGCTCTAACCACTCCGCCTCGGGGCTCCACGATTAGTGGCTTTCAAGTTCATTAACAAGAAGTACCCGTGAGACATTTCGACATGATGAGACTGTAATAAGAACAAAGCTACCGTCATTTCCTATTATAAAAAAACATTTGTTTTTAAAAAAAAACTTCAGAAATGTTAGCAGACGACGGAATTCTTCGAAAGTTATCTCTTTCTCCCCCCCCCCCCCCCACCTCCACTACCCTTCACTCTCCCTCCGAACATGACTCCCAATTGGAGCCAATAATTCTGTTTCTTTATATCGTGATTGAATGAGAAAGGGAACTGCTAAACGATGAATTTGCATCATGCATTTCTATGAAGCAGACTTCCTTGAAAGTTCATTTGATTCCACTGATTAGGACGATTGGTTGCTACACCAGGCTGTACGGGTTTCAGCTGACTCCGCTAGTTAGTTGCATTCGGTGAAAGTCCAGGAATGAGCGAGCGAGTCAGATTCGGGTGAGTGAATCACTCTCCGCGTTTTTCAAAGGCTCCCGAGTTTGCTGATGTGTTTTCCTAGTCGATTGGGGGTTCGATTTCCGGGGGTTAATAATAATCCCCCCCAAAAAAAATACTAATAATGTGGGCACTCACTCAATGACGGTTTGTGGGACGCTGCTGTGCGCAATCGGCTGCCGCGTTTCGCCCAGAATACACAGTCACTCCACTCTGCAGTAAATCCTGTGAAGCGCTTTGAGATGTCTTGAAGAGGTGATGAGGCGCTGTGTCAAATGCGAGGATTGCTATCATTTAGACGGAGCCGTCTTCGAAAAAAGAGAAGGGGGTTTCTCCGGGTGTCTTGGCCAACAACCGCCCCCCTCCCCCCCCAGGACTCTACCCTGCGTGAAGGGCGTTCTGTAAATGCAAGTTGTTGTTGTTGTTGTCACGGCTGTTTCGGGTACGTTGCTGTGCGCAAATTGCTCCTATCTTGTCTCCAGGGTTCAGACGCCTGCTCTGGCCTCAGGAAAATGGACACTTGTGATCTCTCTTTATATATATATATTTAAATGTATATATATATATATATATTTCACAAGAGAGGGATGTTCTTAGACAAGAATAGCCTCCTTTGATCTTCCATACAATGCTGGCTTGTGCTCTAGTTCCTGCGAGGCAAGGTTTTGAGATCAGAAAGAGTTCAACAAGAGTCATTCTGACCCCAAAGTGCACCGCCAGCAGCTCAGCTAGGGTTTCGACTTGCCTCACGACACTGGGACGTGGGAAGGTTTTGGGGTTCACTCGTGGACCCCGGGGTTCACTCCTGTTACCCCCCCAACCTCTGCATCAGGTTTCCTCTTAAATGTGTTGCTTCTCTTCTGCTTCGACCACAGCTTCCAGCAGTGAGTTGAACATTCTCACCACCCCCCCTGCGTGAAGAAGTTCCTCCTAGTCCTGTTGTTTGATACAGACCCTTACCGTGTTGTTTGAGACGTCTCAAAGCGCTTCACAAATAGATTGTAAAGTGGATTGACTGTAATTTGTGGGCGAAACACGGTAGCAGTGTCCCAAAGACATGGATTGAGTAACCAAATTTTTAAAAAAACGTTTAGAGTGCTTATTATCTCTGGAAAGCGATCCTCCAATCAACTAACCACCAGGTTCCTACATACTACTAGGTAAACAGAGGCGTGTGGAGTAAGGAAACTTGCTTAAGGTTTCGCCCCACCCTGGAATCGAACCTGGGCCCTCTTGCTTGGCAGGTGAGTGCGCTAACCAATACACGACATGACTCCACGTTTAATTCCCAATGGAGTGAGCCACTAACGTGTTAGCGATGAGTTGAATGCAAATAGGTGATTACTGGAATAAATAGATTAAAATAGGAAAGGACATAAAGACACTCACATATCCTGAAAGTGGCATGTGTTGACTTGCATTTGAACTGATGAAACCACACTTGTCATTTGCCTTCAACATGTTTTTGGGCGGGTTGGCCAGGTGTCTTTTAAGAGTAGTTTCGCCCAAAAAAATGGACTGGACACACTCTGTTTCTCTCTCTTTCTCTCTCTCTCTGTCTCTCTCTCTTTCTCTCTCCCTCTCGCCTCTGTTGTTGAACAGTCAGTAAACACTCAGTAATGGCTTCTCAGGGTTCAAGATCTGCCCTCTGTGTTTGACGTGAAGTAAAACTTCCCCAAAGTAAGGTTTCGTGTTGTCAACAGTTTGGCAAAATGCAAATGTCAATTTCTTACTTCCTGCCTCGGCCTCATTAATGTTAACATAAAGAAATGTTAACAGAGTGATATTTGCATATGAATTGCATTTGCATCCATTTCTAGTTGTGTAATACAAGCACGTTTCCTCCTGTAGGCGTCAGCCCACAAAACACACAGTCACCGCACTCCACGTTATATCCTGTGAAGCGCTTTGAGACATCCCCGCAATATGAAAGGTGCTGAGTCAAGTGCACGCCCCCCTCTCCTTGCCTCGCCCGGCTTCAGATCACACCTGAAGACCCTTCTCTTCGACCGTGCCTACGGTCACCTCCACCACCCTTTCCCCGCTCAGCGTCAAACTCCGCCATTGTTATGCGCTCCGAGACGCTACGCGGCGTGAAGGACGCTATATAAAGGCGAGTTGTTGTATCGCATTATATTATCGTTCTATAAAAGCGCAGGGATTTTTCGCAGGTTTCAAGTTAATATTATAACGGAGTCAGAAAACTAGTAATAATTCTTGCATTTCGCATGATGCCCTGCTCAAGTTGAAATTTCTCCAAAGCGCTTTACAGGTATCTGCCCTGAGGTGTAGTGACTGTGCGTTTGTAGGCAAATGTGGCAGCCCATTCTCTCGCCGCAAATGGCCGAAGCATCGTCCGACTCCGCCACTACCTCACCCCTCAGGCCACTGATACTCTTGTCATGTCCTCATCACCTCCAGGCTCGACTATGCAAACGTCCTGCTTGTCGGCCTTCCCAACTCCTCCCTCCACAGCTGCAGATAATCCAGAACTCTGCAGCCCATGACCTCTCCCGCAGCAAACTCCGTGATCCCATCTCCCCCACTCTATCCCGACTCCATTGGCTCCCTATCCTTCAGAGGATCCAGTTCAAGATCCTGGTCCTCACCTACAAAGCCCTCCATGGCCTCGCCCCACCCTACCTCTGCGACCTCCTAACCCCCTACCAACCCTCCGCTCAGCCGGCTCTGGCTGCTCCACGTCCCCCGACCCACCCGCCCACCATTGGCGGGAGAGCCTTCAGCCACTCCGGCCCCAACCTCTGGAATTCCATCCCCCAGTCACTCCATCTCGCCCTCTCCTTAGCCTCCTTCAAGTCCTCCCTCAAGACCCTCCTCTTCGACCATGCCATCAGCCACCCCCTTCCGCTCCCCTCCCTTCTCCCCCCCTGACCCCAGCTCTGTCCAGCGCCTTGGGACGTCCTCCTGATGTGAAAGGCGTTATACAAATGTCATCTTGTTGTTGTTGTGAAGTGAACAACCAATTTTTTGTTAACCTGGGGGGGGATTGTCGACCCAGGAGACTGGGAGAGAGAAACTCTGTTCTCTTCTCCAATTGTCCTCTGGAATCATCAGAGCCCCCCCCTTGAACAGGCACATTTCAGATTTTGCGTTGACCTGAGCTCTGCTCTGGTGGGCACTTTAACCCAAAGTAGTAGTAGTAATAATAATAATAATAATAGTAATAATCCTTGCATTTGATCCAGCGTCTTATCACATCTTCGAGACTACTCAAAGCGCTTCACAGAATACACTGTAAAGGGAATTGACTCTATATTTTGTGGGCGAAACTCAGAGAAGTTTCAACTTGATAAACTTCACGGCAAATGCAACGAATATGATTGCCCACAGCAGTGTCCCCACAAACAGTCGTGGACTGAGTGATTGAGGGTAAAAAGTTTTCTCTCTGTTTTTCTCTTTTAAATTTTGAAGGGTTTATTGCCCCCGGGAAAGTGATTCCTCCAATCAACTAACAACCGTGTTCCTGCTTACTGCAAGGTAAACAGAGGCGTGTGGAGTAAGGAAACTTGCCTAAGGTTTCGCCCCGTGTTGTGTTCAGGTTAAGAGGAGTCAGCAGTGTGTGGATTGTGTCACAGTGCCTTCCTCCATTTTCAGCCTCAAAAAAAATCCCCTTTTGGTTTGCAAATCAACTTCCACTCATTGTTGACGTAAGGATTGGAAGCTGCGAGGGGGCGGTGGGGAGGGGGGGGGGAAAGTGAGGGGAGGGGAAATAGGGGGTGGGGGAGAGATACCAAGCAAAGAGAAAGAGGGAACAACTTGTGAACAAAAAAGAGAGTTATGGGGAAGTCGAAAGAGCTGAATCAATAAGCATCTTCCAGCTGCGATATTGGGTTGTGGAAGCTCTTGAGCTAACATGTTGTTGGCATGTTGTTGGCATGTGAGCCGGGGTGAGTGCCCGGAGATCCACGGTAAGGCTGACGGGAACCCAACCACCGCTCACTGTGTCTCTCGTGACTTCGTGCCAAATCTGCACAGCTCAGCCAGAGATCCTCGCATTATGTAACAGGTCTCAACGTTTCAGGACTTTTACCAAGTTTGTTTGCAATCAGCGTTTCGACTTGAGCAAGACAGCCGTTTAGTTAACTCTTGATGTGAAAGTACAGTACTTAAGTACTTTGCTGAGCGCCTTGGCACTTTGCAACTCAGGAACTAAGGCAAGTGTCTTTTTTTTTCATTGACACAGAGTGTGTGCATGCACAAACCTGTCAATACTGGGATGAGTGAATGAGTAAATTGTGTGTGTGTATGTGTGTGTGTGTGTGATTTTAAGTGAAATGTCATTTGTTTCTTTTGAGTTGCAATGTCGAAAGCAGCCCTGCTTGATTCACCGCGCTGGTAACTTACTTTAAAGCTTGTTTCGCATTGTGGTGCGGAATCCAGGGTTGACTTACATTTCCGACGGTTGCAAATCTCTCTTCTCCTTAAATCAGTTCCATTCTGCACTTGGTTCAGCAACAGAAGGAAGTCCAAAGGAAGTTAAATCGTGCGGGGACAAAGAAAAAATGGGAACTGTTAAACCACACGTTCCGGCTGTTTCAGTATTAGATGACTTTTAAGTTTTATTTGTAATGATAATTATTTTGGCTTTGGTGGTCCGCTTTAAGGCGTATTTATTGAGAATGGGGTTTGTTGTCAGAAGTTTTGATCCAGGACAAAAGGCACTGTGTACTGTAGTAGAGCATTGATTACACCTGGCCCCTTTGAATGAAGGAACACTGTGTGTGTTAATACTAATAATAATAATAATACTAATCCTTGCCATTGATATAGCACATTTCATGTCGGGAGAGCATCCCAAACCGCTCAATCATATTTCACTTTACTAAGAAACGCTTGAGGGTGGGTTCCAAATCAGTACTTTTTCCTCTGATTTCCTCGAAGTTTGTCTGTTAATAATAATAATGATGATGATAATAATGATAATTATCCATGAGTAGGTGAGATGCATGGAATTCTCAGGCGGGTTTGGAGACTCTTAAGCACGGTGATGGGTTTCACATGTGTCAGACACCCGGCTGACCAAAACAAATTGCATTTAATGCAGTGCCTTTCATGTAGGGAGCTCGTCTCAAAGTGCTTCTTAGGATTCACAGGTAAGGTCTAGTGACTGTGTATTGTGTGTAGGTGAAACACTGTAAACTCTGATGTAAAAGGTTTGGATGAAAAAGACCCTTTGGCCCATCCGATCTCATTCCTCCAAAACATCCACCTTACTGTTACCCTTCCTCCCCTTCCTCCATCACAGCATCAATGATAAGGAACTGTATCAAATGCAAGGATTATTATTATTGATCAATTAACCTCTGGGTGAAGAAAAACTTCCTGGTGTCTGTCCCGAAATTGCCCTTCACAACTCTAAACCTATGCCCTGTTGTTTTACTGTTATTGGGTTTATTTTTTTTTGCAATCCCACTTCAAATGATCCACACCTCTCCACTGTGAGTCATCTTCTCTCCAGGCTGAGGAGCCCGAGCTTAACTTAATTGTTGGCTGACAGCTCATTCCCCTATCATTGGGGAATCATTCTAGTTGCTCTTCTCTGCACTGTGTTTTCAAGGTGCGGTCGGGCAAAGCACTGCACAGCCTGAGAATGACATCCATTCGGAGGATCTAAGCCGAACTGATTTAGCAATATAGCCCAGCATCCGTCTTGTTATTGCTGTCTCACTCTACAGTGTTTGGACAGAGTGAGCGCCCAGCCAGCTAATACCCCAACATAAATAATTAAATTGGTCACTTCAATCCACGGCTGTTTTGCGGGACGCTGCTGTGCGCAATTGGCTGCCGCGTTTCGCCCACAAAATATGCAGTCCGTGCGCATTAAAGCGTGTGCTGTGAAGCACTTGGAGGTGCCTCGAAGACGTGATGAGGCGCTGCATCAAATGCAGGGATTATTATTGTTGTTGCATCTCTCTTGGCTTCCTCCTCAGTGGGTTCTGTCCCGCCTGGAGCAGGTTCGATGCTGTGAACGGCCTTGTTCTGCCCTGTGACACTCTCTTCGTCTTTTTGGCTCACGTCCATCCTGCTTCATGTCCATCCCCTCCCCCCCAACCTGGTCCGCCATCAGCGGGCAAGCTGTCAGCCCCTGCTCTCCCAACCTCCCTCCCTCCCTTCCTCACTCCCACCTTTAAAGCCCCGCTTTAAGACCTTTCTTTTCCACCACATTTTGGTCACATTTCTCTCCCCACCACTTTCAGCTCCCGCCCCACCATTTGTCCCGTAGTGTAGTGGTTAGTGCAAGCGAGAATACCGGGTTCAATGCCCAGCCGGACTGGGCGAAACCTTCGGTGGGTTTCCTTACTCCACACGCCCATTTACCAGGCGGTAAATTGTAAGTCGGGTATTAGTCGATTTGCGGATCGCTTTCTGGAGATAATAATCCCTCCCAGAAACAAATTTTGGTCACGCAAATCCACAACTGTTTGTGGCACACTTCCGTGCGCAATTGCCCTCCGCGTTTCGCCCACGACATGCCGGGCGACTCCTTGAAGAGCTTCGAGACGTCCTCCCGCCCTTCGAGACGTCACCACGTTGAATTTAATTGGGAATTCAAGTCACAATCTCACGATTTTTCCCTTTCCCTCAATGAGAACTGAACAGGAATCTCAATTATTTCACAACTTGTACCGAGGAACTTCTCGTAACTGATTCTCCCCAGTGATAACCAGAGCAAGCGAAGATCCCGAAATATCCGGGAAGATCTCAGTGACCTGGCAACCTTTAGCAGGGAAATTTATACAGTATGTCATCATCTGATGCAACCACCTGTATGTGACCAGGCAACTTGACATGTGCAGCACAGGTTTACACAACCAGGAATAAAATCCTCTGAAATATGGTCCATTTGAACCCAAAATAAACACTGCTGTTCAGCAAGTCCCCAGTGACAAACCGGTGAGTAGGAATAGTTGGCAAATTGTCTCAGAAAAATTGGCCCAAAAGTCATTGTGAAATCATAGTGAATTATTTCCTCTTACTGTTCAGTCAGATCAACCCAAGCCCTGAAATTACTCATGACTTTAAGACTATTATTGCCTTAAAGCTCACTCTCAGGGAAGCTGTCCTGGGGTGAATAATAATAATAATCCTGGCATTTGATATGACGCCTTATCACGTTGTTGAGACGTCTCAAAGGGCTTCACAGAATATACTATAAAGTGGAGTGAATGTGCATTGTGCATCGACTTTTGGGATAGAGAAAAGATCTCTTTTTTGTGCCTATTTTAGAATTCCTTAGAATATCTGTGGAGTCCTGTAGCTCGGTGGGTAGAGCACTCGCCTCTCAAGCGAGAAACCTGGGTTTGATTCCCAGCAGGGTGAAACCTTGGGCAAGTTTCCTTACTCCACACGCCTAATAATAATCCCTCAAGAAAAAAATAAATAAATTGGTCACTTCAAGCCATGACTGTTTGTGGGACATTGCTGTGCACAATTGGCTGCCGCGTTTCGCCCACAAATATACGGTCAATTCACTTTACAGTCTATTCTGTGAAGCGCTTTGAGACGTCGAGAAGACGTGAAAAGCGCTATATCAAATGCAAGGATTATTATTATTATTATTGTGTGGGCGAAACGCGGGAGCCAATTGCGCACAGCAGCTTCCCACAAATGAATCGTAATCCCTGCTTTTGATGCAGTTCCTTATCACATCATCGAGACGTCTCTCGAACGCTCCACAGACTTTTACTGTGAACGTTGCGTTCTGAGACGCTGGTAAACGCAAGTTGTTGTTGTTAGTGACTGTGGGTTTATGGGGAAGCACGGCAGCACATCAGTGTCCCGTAAACAACAACAACAACAACAAAATTACATTTATAGAGCGCCTTTCACATCGGGAGGACGTCCCAAACAGCCACGAAGGGAATGACCAATATTATCTTGGGCCAGAGCAAGGTCCAGCTGAGACTGAGCAATGGCACCTGCATCTTTCTGAGGACGGGGAGAGTGACACCGACGGAGCCGGGCTGACACAATGGCCATCCCAATGTGCGGTATCACCCCATTGATTGCTTCATAAGAAATGTGTAACGTCTCAATGCAGAACGATTTCTTCAGCGCTTTTTAATGCAACAGTCAATGTGCTGGAAATTTGTCAACTGGATGTTTCGTGTTAAGAAATGTGTTGAGTAATACCACTCGGTATCAGCTCAGTCGGTAGTTTACTTGTCTTGCAGTTGCAAGTTTATGGGATTGAAACGACCTGAAGATGGGGAAGGAGAGAGCAAGGCGGAGGGATAGAGAAAGAGTGTTCCAGAGTTCCAGCAAGTCAGACCTCAGCAAAGAGCAGAGTGAGGCAAATCTGCAGAAATTAATTTATATTAAAGTTGTGAAATCAGCTGCCAGTGCAGCCCGAAATGGTTCACATCGAGGTGAAAAACAGGATGTTTGTCAGCCGCAGACCCTGGAGATTGACTGTTGTGATCTTACGAATCTTCGCTCGATCAATTTCATCTGGACTGAGAGAAAGAGAGTGTGTGTGTGTGTGTGTGTGGGGTGGGGGGGGAGGGGTATAGGTTCCAAACAACTTTGAACGTTGATAAGAAAAAGACAGCCACTAACACACTAAAGCATCTAATTTGTGATGGGATGATGGGACCTAACCTTAAAGATCTCTTTTTTTTGGTCAGCCGGGTGTCCGACACTTGCGGAAGCCCATCCCTGTGCATAGAGCATCCAAACTAAGCTGAGAATTCCCTACATCCCACCCACACATGGAAATTCCAGAGATAGATTGTTGGAATGGAATGCGCTCTCTCTCTCTCTCTCTCTCTCTCTCTCTCTCTCTCTCCCTGGAGGGATGCATCCTCCTTTCCTGATTCCGGCAAGTATTAGGCGCAGGTTGGCAAGAGCCAAGGCTTGGGGGGAGCCCAGAGTGTGCGTTGGGGATAACTGCTGGAGTCAAACCGGCTAAAACCGCATAGCTTGCCATTGAAAGCGCTGTCTCGTGAGCTTTCCCGTTGCTTGTCCAGCTAGGACCACCCTGCCCGCGAGGGCTTTGGCTCGCAGGCTTAACGGGTCTCAGGTTAAAGGGAGGCAAGGTGATCTCCCTCAGGAGTGTCTGATGTGGGAGCGAGAACTCACAAACCTCCAAACCAGAATCGCTGCCAACTGAGCCAGATTCCCCACATCGAGCAGGTCTGAGCTGAGAGCCAAAGTTTCTCTTTCCTTCTGAAGAAACAAAAGAGGAAGAGAATCAATTCTGATGACTGGGTTTCTTGCACATTGCGTGTGTGGTTTGGCAATATTTTTTGGTGCGATCCTCGCTTTAACTATCGCGCCCTTTTGCGTCGCTCTGAGTCAGAAGGCCTCGGGTCATAATCTAGGCTGGCAGCGCCATCCAGCGGGTAGCCCTGCCTCGGTGACTCCCTTTGGATCAGATGTTCCCTCTGCCCGTTCAGGCGGATGTTCAAGATTCTCACGCTCGCTAGTCAACAGCTCCTTGGCTATTTGTGGGGACGCTGCTGTGCGCAATTGGCTGCCGTGTTTCGCCCACAAATATACAGTCAATTCACTCGACAGTATATTCTCCGAAGCGCTTTGAGACCTCTCAAAGGCGTGATAAGAGCTATGTCAAATGCAAGGATTATTATTTTTATTATTATTATTATGATAAATCCTTGTAACGTCTTGATGGTGGTGATTAGGTGCAAAGTTAAAAGCGTGGATCGTTTTTGAGATTTTTTCTCTCAGACGCCAGGATAAATTTTGTATTTTTTTTTTGAAAAAGTGCAGCAATAAAATGTGCAATAAATACAAAAGTATCCTCCCTCCCTTCCCCCCGCAACACCTAAATAGCCCCAGTTCTACTTCCATTTCTGTTCAAATGACTTATTTACTTTCTTGGGTCTGGAAGGAACACCCACAGGGAGTTTTCGGTACTCATTGTTGCTTATGAAGCATTTTGAGTCATTCTCCTGCAAAAACATCACCAGTCACTACACTTTACAGCCATAATACTGGCGGTGCTTGCAATATGATATGGGCCTTACCATGTCATTGAGACGTCTCGAAGCACTTCACTGGAATTTACGGTGAAATGTCGTGACTGTTGCCAAGTGAATCTGAAATGATTAGTCCCACAGGCACCGTTCAGAACGAGAGAGGGAAGTTTCTTCCCATGTCCGGACAACGACGACAACTTGCATTTATATCGCGCCCTTCAGGCCGGTCGGGGTCTCAGAGCGCTTGACAATGGCCTGGCCGGCAATGCTCCACGTTCCTCAGTCATTCGACTCGAGAGTGTTTGTGGGACCTCACTTTGGGCAAAATGGCTGCCTCGCTTGCCTCCCCCGGTAAAAAAAAGAATTGCCACCTCGACTAGCGATGATGGCTGCAAAGCGTTTTGAGATATTTCAAAGTCCTTTTGCGTGGTGTCGACAGGCAGCCCTCGCCCGAAAAGAATTGAAGGCGAAAGTGTTCGTCGAGGAGGGGAGGGTGTGGCAGCGAGAGGAGATGGAAACAGAGCTTATTTTTTTTAATAGGTGAGAAAAAGATCAGGTTTTTTTTCTGAACGTTTCTCAAGCCTCAACCCCCGACCCTCCTCGAATGGGGATTTTTTTTTTTGGGAGGGGGGGGGGCACAATTCTGCACGGTCTTTGTTCCAATGTAGGTGACTTAGACCTCGAGAAGCCGGTTTATCTTGAACCTGAAGAGTAGAACCGAAGGACAAGGCCTGCGATTGAAAGGGCGGGGGCGGGGGGACGGGGGGTAAATTCAGAACCAAATCTTTCGGTGAGCGAGCGGTAAATGAATGGAACAGGCTCCCCGAGGGAGAGACAGTCACTACACTTTACAGCCGTAATAAGTGTCGATTCGTTGGATGGATTCCTTTTTGGGAAGTAATATTTTGGGATGCAGCGCAGTATACAGTTCAGGACATGACACTTCCAAGTGACCTCCAGGATGGGTGGGAAGCCCAACTGGATAGACCCGGGCCCTGTTTCGTCCAGCAAACTCTTGACGTTCCTCTTTTCCCAGAGGGTTGTGGTAGCTGACGGGAGCAGGATGCCTCCAGGAATGCAATATCACCAGGATCTGTGGAGCGAGGATGAGAACCCGGACGTGGAGGTTGAGTTTCTGCTGCCAACGGGCATTTACTTGAACTTCTACGTGCCTCGCAGCTCGACCATCAGTTACATCAAGAAGGTAAATAGGATTTTTTTGTTATTGTTAACCGTTAATCTGTTGTTGGGGGAGGCTTCAACAACCACCACCACCGCCACGACAACAGCAACTTGTAATGCCCATCACACAGGGTAGCGTCCCCAGAGCGCTTGACACTGACTGGGCACGACGCTGAGCTGGGCGGGAGGGGGGTGACCGTGGGCACTGGTCGAAGAGGAAGGTCTTCAGGCGCGACCTGAAAATGGGGAAGGATGGGGCAAGGCGGAGGGAGTGAGGGGGAGAGTTCCAGCGATAATAATAGTATTAACAGTTACTGAAGCATTTGATATGGTGCCTTTCGCATCGTTGGAACGTCTCGAAGGGCTTCAGTTTTTCCGTGAAATGTAGTGACTCTGTATTCGTAGGCGAACTGCGGCAGCCAATCTCTTTAGAAATGTCACGTTTTGGAACCCAATGGGGGGAACCTCGCAACACCAGAGACTGGAAGCTATTCACCCACCAACCGAGGACGTAACTGGGCACACATCAGATGCTGCTTTCACCTGCAAAATACACAGTCACTACACTCTACAGTGTTCCCTGTGAAGCGCTCGGAGGCATTATTTTCACAAATTGTATGTTTGTTTAAAACGTTCTTTAACTGAAATAATCCCAAATCTCTCTCTCTCTCACTCTTTCTCTCTTTCTCTCTTTCTCTGTCTGTCTGTCTTATCTGTATTGTTTGTCTGTGTCCCCCCCCCCTCTCTCTGTCTGTCCCCCTCTCTCTCTCTCTCTCTCTCTGCCTCTCTCTCTCTTTCTCTCTCCGTCTTTAGCTGCTATGGCAACAGGCTCAGCAGCAGCCGCTGTTCCACACGCTGAACGAGCCGGACGCCTACGTCTTCACGTGTATCAACCACACGGCCGAACGGGAGGAGCTGGAGGACGAGCGGCGGAGGCTGTGTGACGTCAGGCCATTCCTCCCCGTCCTCAAGCTGGTGGCCCGAGAGGGCGATCGAGCGGAGAAGCTCATCAACTCCCAGATCAGCCTGCTCATCGGCAAAGGTAGGCACTGCCACAGCAACTCGAGTTTACCTCGTGCCCCTCACGCGGGGGAGAGGGAGGGAGTTGGGGGGTGGGGGGAGGGTGGTGGGGGCAGGTGACCGTAAGCAAAGTGGGGAGAGAGAGGAGAGCCGAGGCTTTTCGCAGCCCAGAAGAAGGTTATTGGACCCCCCCATCGTGTCTCCTCTTTAACCCACAAGTCACACCACTTTACCACGTAACACCGTGAAGCTCTCCCGAGAGCTTTCGACCACGTTTTGAAGCTCTGTATCAAACGCAAGGACTATTATGGTAATTATTATAATAATAATAATCCTTGCATTTGAGAGAGCGCCTTTTCGCGTTGTCGAGGCGTCTCAAGGGTCTTTAGACGGACTGCGTATCTTTCGTGGGCGAATCGTGGCAGCTGTCAGTGTCCCACAAACAGCCGTGGAGTGAGTGACCGATTTTATTCGGGTGAAGTTGTTGGCCCAGGAAACCGGGGGAATTATTATTAACCCGTCCGTCCCATGCAGGCCTACCCCGCTTCCACACCCGGGTCTCGAAATTGACAAAGTATGGGACGGAGCATGGCAGAGATTCAAGTTTGTTGGGAAAAGGGAGTTGTTAACAGGAACTCAGCAGAGCTCGGAATTCACTGATATCATTTCACAAAGCCGTTAGATTCCAATCTTTCTCTTATTCCCTCCTCACCTAACCTTCCTCTGAACCTCTCTTCCAACTCTTCCCCCCCCCCTCACCGCCAGCCCACACACACAGATGCACACACATCACATACATTCCAGTAATGTTATTTCCACATGCATTGAGCTCCCGATTATTTCCTGCTCGTTGACAAATGCGTTGAGGTTGCTCAATGCTGCGGCTGCTTACATAATCTGCTCCATACACTACAGTGTTACAGCACAGACACAGGCCACTCGGGCTGGTGCACGGGATGGTTTTCTACAGTGAAACTCGCAACAAGTCTTTGTAGATGATATAAAGCCGCAGATCGTACATTCACCCGAGTTCCCGTTCAGTTTCTTGTCGAAACCACTTTGACTTCTTCCCACCAGTCGTATCAATCGTCTCCTAATTCATAACTGCCCCTCCCCTGCCTTCCGTTCCTCCCTCGCTGACCGACTGCATTGAACCGGGGGTGGTGGGGGTGGGGATGGGGTAATGATGTCCTGACCGTTGACCGTTGACCGTTGACGCTCGCGCAGTTAAATTTCCCGCAACTCAACGGGATTACAAAAAAGGCTGGGAATCTCTAATCCTTACACGAGGACGTCCCAAAGCGCTTCCCGGGATACGCTGTAAAAAGTGTGGCGACTGCGTGTTTTGCAGGTGAACGCTACGGGGAGGGGGGAGAGGGGAGTGGGGGGAAGGGGGGAGCTTAAACCCACGATTCGGAGGTGAGAGCCGCTACCGACCGAGCCAGGCTTGACGCAAGGTTTCGCTGGGTGTGTTTCCAGGACTGCACGAGTTTGACTGCATGCAGGATTACGAGGTGGCCGAGTTCCGGTTGAAGATGCGTCAGTTCTGTGAGGACAAAGAGTCGGAACGACTTCGGATGTCGTGGCAGGACTGGATGGAATACAGCTTCCCCCGGGAACTGGAGCCCATCCAAGAGGCTCCCGATAACAACATGATCCGGACCCTGAGCAACCGTAACATTGTCATCAACGTCAAGTTTCAATACAATGAAGTGAGTGCGGTGGGAGCTTTTATTTGCCCCCCCCCCCCCATGTTTTCATTCATTGTATTATTGAACCCACACCCCACACCCCCCACACCCTCTTTACCTGTCTTTAGGCAGTGGCTTCCCGTAGGTTGTGGTTAGAGCCCTCGCTTCACAAGCGGTTCGATTTCCGGTGGGGGCAGAGCGAAACCTCAGGCGAGTTTCCTTCCTCCACGCTCCTCTGTTTGGCGGATCGCTTCCTGGGGGAAATAATCCCTCAAACTAACAAAAAACTGGGTGCTCAATTGTCGACTGTTTGTGGGACGCTGCTGTGCGTATTTGTCTGCCGTGTTTCGCCCAGAAGATGCACAGTCAAGTCAATTTACAGTATATTCTGTGAAGCGCTTTGAGACGTGTGAACAAAGTGATCAGATGCTTTATGAATTACAAGGATTATTATTATGATTAAATCCTTCCCTACAACCAACCTCTTACGTTGCGCCTTTGGTCATCTCCCTCCGCTCCCCCATTTGGCGACACTGTCCTGCCTGAAGGGTGCCGTACAAATGCAAGTTATTATTGTATAATATTACTATTATTATTAATAAAAATATTACGGGTGCCTTGAGCTGCCTCTGTTCTGTACCTCGCCCTAACCTGAACTTGTATCTTTTAAACCAGGAAAGTTTCAGCTTCCAAATCTCCCCCCAGTCGCACCCTGGAACTCTCATGCAGATGGCGGTGAAGAAAAAAGCCACAGTTTTCCGTCACAAAACCGTGGAACACACCGAAGATTACACCCTGCAGGTGAACGGAACCGAAGAGTATATCTACGGCAACTACCCACTCGGTCAATTTAAGGTGAGCTCTTTGTGGTATAATATTAATAATGATAATAGCTTGTGATATAGCGCCTCATTACATCTTCGAGACGTCTCAAAGTGCTTCACAGAATACACTGTAAACTGGAGTGACTGTGTAATCTTGTGGGCGAAACGCGTACAGCAGTTAGTCACTATTAAACTTGAAGCGGGAGCATCAGCAATCGCATCCGCAAAATACCGTCACCACAATCTACGGTAATGATAATAATAATAATAATAATACTTGTGCTTTTTATAGCTCGTTATCACGTCTTTGAGACGTCTCAAAGCGCATCACAGAATGTACTGTAAAGTGAATTGAGTGTGGATTTTGTGGAGGGTAATGAATTTAAACCGGAGAACGACAATTTGTGTTTTTTTTTCCCTTCTCCCAGCATATCTGGAACTGTATGTACAGCAGTTCCACCCCTCACTTGACAATGGTCCATTCCTCCACAATCAATTCCTTGAAAGGGGAGCAGTCGAACAGTATTGCGCAAGTCCCCAAGAGCCGGACTTATTCCAAACCACCACCGTTGCCAATTAAGAAGGTAATTATCGCTCGTTGCTTTATTTCCTGGTGCTGTTGGTGTCAGCGTGGCTCAGTTGGTACTGCTCTCGCCTCTGATTGAGAAGGCTGTGGGTTCGAACCCAACATCGGGACTTTGAGCTCACAGTCTAGGCTGATGCTCCAGTCCTGTGCTGGGGAGAGCAATGCATTTTCGGAGGCTGCCGTGCTTTGGACTAGACGTTCTGTGGAGTCCTGTAGCTCAGTGGTTAGAGGGCTCGCCTCGCAAGCGAGAGACCTGGGTTCGATTCACGGCAGAGCAAAACCTTGGGCAAGTTTCCTTACTCCACACGTCCGATAATAATCCCTCAAGAAAAAAAAACAATGAAAATTGGTCACTTCAATCCACGACGCTGCTGTGCGCATTTGGCTGCCGCGTTTCGCCCACAAATATACAGTCAATTCACTTCACAGCCTATTCTGTGAAGCGCTTTGAAACGTCTCGAAGACGTGAAAAGCGCAGTATCAAATGCAAAGATTATTATTATTATTAAACCGAGGTCTCGTCTGTGCCAGTTCAGGTGGACCTTAAAGATCCCGTGGCACTATTCAAAAAAGGCGCTGTGTCAACAGCAGATTTACATTGACATGGCTAGTGTTTTTCAAGTTGGGAGGACATCCCCAGGCACTGGACAAATACTAAAGATGATTATTATTATTATGTTTCATGCATAATAACAGGATGTGACTGACTAATCTATTAGTCGGCTAAAAATAGAAGCGGGCTGGTATTTGGGATATGCTGTCATTACAGACAGGACAGGACAGCTCTGAAATAACTCCATTTACTATGAGTCAATCACACCACTGATGTGTTAGGGACCACAACTCGTGTTCTGTTGTTCTTTATCGTGGTTTTAAGGAGATGGAGGAGCAATGCTTTCAACTCTTAAGGTCTGTAGTGTCTGAGACGCTATCCTGGATGTGGTCCGAGCAGGCTGTGCGCACAGACCCGAATCAAACGATCGAGAGGTTATTTACTCTGCGCTAACAGACAGTCACTGCACCATGCAGGTTTGGGAAGCCCTTCTCAATGTTAAAGGAGTTACACCAAATACAGTGAACACCTGCTAACTCGTCACTCAAAAGGGTTATCAGTAGCGGCGAGTTATGCACATGTGTTAGATCCATAAATAAATCCGTCCGGGATATTGACGAGATGTTGACTTAAGTGGTAGTGACAAGTTTAACCGGGTTTGAGTTATCATGAGTTTACTGCACAAGGATTTTTCTTTTGATCGATTCCTCTCTTTGCATCTATCACAGTCTGATAACTTAAACTGTCCACAGAATGGCATTATCGTCTATTACTTGAGTGCTTTTGCTTTGTACAATAAATGAGAGACAGCCAGGTAATGATAATAATAATCTTGCATTTAATAGCACCTTATCGCGACATCTCAAAGCGCTTGATAAAGCAGGCTAGGTCCCCGAGATGGGGGGAGCGGAGTGAGGGGGCTGCGGGGGAGAAGGGAAAAGAATACCCAAAGAGGTATTTTTTTTGAGCCGTGCATTTGAACGAGGAAGGGAGGGAGGGAGGGAGGCGGAGGATGGAGTTCCAGAGAGCGGGGGAAAAGCATTCGCTTTAATATCACGTCCGACAATATCACTATTATGCAAAAGCCAGAAATCTGGCCACAAAGCTGTCCTGTCATCATCCAAAGCAAAGCTCCTCCTGTTTCACAAGATCCCCACTGAAGCCATCACGTGCTGCGTCCTCCCTGACCTTCCCAATAGATTGGGATGTGTGTTGGAACGCCGCTGGGATCGGCATGTGATGTCTTTTCCCTTTGTCCCAGGGCCATCAGCCCCCGGCCCCCCCAACCCGACCTGAACCTATCCTCAGCGTCAGCCTGGCTCACACTGTTGTCAGTCACACTGAAGTTCGTGGGATCAAACCGTACGTTGAGTCTTACGAGCTCACAGTTCTCTCGGCTGACCCTCGGCTGAATTGTCGCATGAGACGTTAAACAGTCTGCCCGTTCAGGTGGACGCTAAAAAACTAAGTGACCCATGAGTTTCACCCGCAAAACACACAGTCACTCCACTCTGCAGTAAAACCCTGCGAAGCGCTTTGAGACGTCTTAACGACGTGACAAGGCGCGACATCAAATCAAGGAGCCTTTAGGAGTATTATTCGTGGTGGTACGTTGACAAGACAGTCACTCACAAAAAGGTATTTCACAGGCAGCAAGAAATATCACAATCTCCCAGATATAAATCGGTCATTCGCTTCATAGACATTTGCGGGGACTTCACTGTGCGCAGAATTGGCTGCTGTGTTTGCCAACAGAATACTCGGACACTGTACTTTACAGTAAATCTTGTGAAGTGGTTTGGGATTGCTTGACCAACCACACGATAAGGGGCTGGATCACACGCAAAGGATTATTATTGTTATGATATATACTCCAGGAAATAGCCATCGCGACTGTGTATTTTGTGGGCAAATCGACAGCAAGTTTTCCCTTTTCGACCTCTCGCTTTCGGCTATCTTTCCCCTCTCCCCCGCCCCCCCCCCAATCCTTCTTGGCTCCCGCCTCCAGCTCGGGTGTCCGTCCAACTTTGTGAAGTGCTCTGAGACGTCCTCTCAACGTGGAAAGCGCTATATCAAATGCAAGGATTATTATTATTATTATTAACGTAAAGTGTGTTGTGTATTTCCAGCAATCTGGCATCACCCTCTGGAACCTCGATCAGCCCTTTACGATCACTTTGATGTCCGGGAGCAAAGTAAATGCGGACGAAGGGATGAAGGTTGGTAGGGTTTTTTTTCTCCCTTCTCTCTTTTTTGTCTTTGACTCTTCCTCTCTTTTTTTTCTCTTTCTCGTTCTTTCTGTTTTTTTCTCGCTGCCTTTTCTTCCTTCTTTCCTTGAGGCCATGAGCATTGACCTCAACCACAGTTCAACATGAACCTGCTCTTTTTTCATGAGAAAAACAGGAAGTGGGTAATTTCAATGCAAATTTTCGACAAGCTAATTCTCAGAATTGATTGACAGGCTCATCTTCCACAATCCATTTTTAAGTAGCAAGTTCCCCGCCCGCCCCCACACACCACCCCCCCAACACCGCGATACCCACACCCTTTCTCTCTCTTGTGACGTTCAAGAGTTTGCGTATATTTGAGCTATAATAATAATAATAATCCTTGCATTTGATATAGCGCTTTTCACGTCGGGAGGACGTCCCAAAGCGCTTCACAGAACACACTGTAAAGTGAATTGACCGTATATTTGTGGGCGAACGCGGCAGCCAATTGCGCACAGCAATGTCCCACAAACAGTCGTGGATTAAAAATGACCAATTTATTATTGTTTTTGGTTTTGGAGGATTATTATTAGGCTCTGTGTGGAGTAAGGAAACTTGCCTGAGGTTTCGCCCTCTGCCTGGAATTGAACTCAGGTCTCTCACTTGCAAAGCGAGTGCTCTAACCACTGAGCCACAGGACTCCACAAAGGCACCGGCTTGCACAATCACCAATGTCCTGTTATTGCCTGGCTTGAGTTCTGCAAAGAAGCCGTCAACTTGCTCGTGTTGTTTTTCTTTACAATCAAAGCGTCTTCAGAGTTTATATCCTCCTGCCCCCCCCCAGAAAAGAGCACAGTCACTACACTGCATAGCATTTTATTGCGTAATCTATATCACGTATAGAAAAGTAAAGGAGAAGGGAAAAGGAGGGGTGTGGGCTTGTGTTGTATAAACAATGTAACTCTATATATATATTCTGTAAGCAACTATATACCTTTATATGTATATATATATATTTACTGTGTGCTCTACCAAATCATTATTATTAGTGATTATTCTAACTGAGCTGCATTGTGTAGGAACATTTAAATTCGGGGGCAAACAGGAGTTGATTTCTTCCCTCCCCCAAGTCACCTATTTTCCATGTGGCTGAACATCTTTTTACAATGCCTAAAACCTGAACCGTAGATTTATCCCCACTGTCTGACCGCAAAACAGAGGCTTCTTTGAACTGCGCAAGCACTCGAGGGCTATGGAGCTATTTTGGAACCGACATAGACCTTGCAATGTTTTACATTTCCATCTCCTTCACCCATTTTCTCTGCCTGCCAGCAGCCTGTCTGACTGTCTCTCTCTTCGACCTCATCGCGTTGAAATGCCCGAAAGTGCTTCACACCAATTATCGCCGATAATGTAATGACTATTTTTGTTGGCAGCCATTTTACCCACAGTGAGGTCCCATGATCATCACCCAGGAGGTGAAGGACCAATTTGGGGGGGAGGCAGGGAGGGGGGAGAGGGATTGTCAGCCGAGACGTGGTGAGAAATCTCCCTTCTCTTATCGAACAGCTCCACGGAATCTTTAACGTCCGCCTGTACAAACAGGAGGGACCAAGGTTTAACATCCCATCAAAAGGTGATACCTCTGACAATGCTGCGCTTCCCTGTTCCACAGCCCCACCCCCCCACACTCACCCACACTGTATTCCTAAGCTATAACCATGTGAGGTTCAAAGACGTGGCTTTTGAACCTGCAAACTTCTGACTCAGAGTGGAGAGCGATACCGACTGACTGAGCCGGGCTGAGACCCGACCCAAAACAATGAGAGTATTCATCGAATGTCTCGGGCCTGTGCCGTCCAATAGTAGCTTTTTCTATTTGTTTTTTTTTTGTGTTTTTTTTAACGTCCCAAGTATTCTCGTCGAGGTAACAAAAATCCACTGACCTTTCACAGATTGTGCGTCATCGCCAGATTTCAGGCTTGTAAACGAGACATTCTTGTGTTTGGTAACAGTGTGACCGGCTCGAATTTATCAAAGATAACCAAGAATGTGCTCGCAGACAAAATTACAACTACGTTTTCTTCCGTCGCTCTCTCTGTCTAGGAATCCAGTAATCCTCCTTGCCTCCTCGTTGCTCTTGCCCTGTCCCGGGGAAGGCTGAGACACATTCCTGAGCAATTCTAGTTTGAGTTGTGGTGCACGATCTAATAGAATGACGGAACAGGCTTGAGGGGCTAAATGGCCAACTGCTGTTCCTATAAGAGCGCTATATAAAGGTTCCCCCGCCTCGTCCCTTCTCTCTCTCTCTCTATCTCTTTCTCTCTCCTTTCATTCGGCCCACGCTGCGCTGTGGGGGGGGTGGCGAGGCGGAGGGATTGAGGGAGAGAGTTCAGGAGTTACGGAGTCTAGTGGCTGAAGGCATTCGAGCTTCATTTCACCGTTGTTTCCCCTTCTCCCCTCCCCAGCTTGTGGTCCAGGCAGGCCTGTTCCACGGCAGCGAGATGCTCTGCAAAACCGTCTCGAGCCACGAGGTCAGTGTGTGCTCGGAGCCTGCGTGGGACCAAGCTCTGGAGTTTGACATCCATTTCTCCGACCTCCCGCGCATGACCCGCCTCTGCTTCGCCCTGTACGGGGTCATCGACAAAGCCAAGAAAGCCAGATCCACCAAGAAGAAATCGAAGAAAGCTGTGAGTACCGCGAGCGTTAATCGACCCTTGGAGTAATAATCCCTCCCACCCCAAAAAATACTACTAGTAATGATAATTTGGTCACTCAATCCACCACTGTTTGTGGGGACACTGCTGTGCGCAATTGGCTGCCGCGTTTCGGCCACAAAATACGCAAGTCGATCCACTTGACAATATATTCCGTGAAGCGCTTTGAGAGAGAGAGACGTCTTGAAGACACGATTGACCGAGAGGTCACCGAAGAGTAGAGAAACTCTGGAACCGTCTTCCCCAAAAGGCTGTGATTGTTGGATCAATTGAAAATTTCAAGACAGAGGTGGATGGATTTTTGTTAGGTTCAGGGTATCGAGGGATATGGGGCAAAGGCAGGTCAATGGAGTTGGAGTACAGATCAGCCATGATGTGATAGAATGGTTGAACAGGCTCAAGGGGCTGAATGGCCTCCTCCTGTTCCTATGTTCCATCTGACGTCTTTTTCAAGGCTGAAGAGCATTGCTGTAACCTCTGGCGGTTGTTGATTGTTCCTTTCTGCTCTCTGCAAAGGGATCTGGGGCAGCATCCCCGGTCACGGTGATGGACAGGGTTAATGATTACCTGGATGAAAAGCTGAAGGCTTTTCCTGAGAAAGGTGTCTGTTTGTCAGCAAAACATTGACTTCAATTGTTTTGTTTTCGCATCCATGCAAATGGACGGAGCTGGCGAAATGGCCATTCAAATCACCCAAAGCCCTTGAGTGTGGGGAGTGAGCCAGGATAGCTATGGAAATCAATGAACAGTGAGTCAGAGAGATGCAAATGGGAATGTGAGCTGACTCGAGCACTCGCAGCAAATCTGCGAAGTCTGTCACAGTGTTTTTATACGGCCCCTTCCGTCGGCTTCTCTGTCTGTTGGGAGTAGGAGCCAATCAGAAAAGGGAGAGCGCGAAAGGGAGAGAGAAATAAGGAGAGCCAGCCAGCCAGACAGACAGACAGACAGACAGACATTGCTTCAGTCTATAGTTCTGGGGGGCTTGTGGTTCTCGGCTGGGTGGGGAAATGTTCGTTGTGGCCACCTGCTCACACACCATTTCACAAATTTTTGGTTTCCTGATCGTAAGTAATTTCTCAGAACTCCGGTAAGAGGGTAGTGGAAAGGAGGAAGTAGATGCACATCATTAATTTGTGTCTGTGTCTGTCTGAGCTCTCATCCTTCCTGAATCTCCTCCCCCACCCGAGGCGCTGGACAGTTGGGTCGGGACCCGAGCATTGGGGGGAAATGGTCAGAGTGAGGGGAGGGAAGGGAGGGAGAGAGGAGGGGGTAGAGAGTTGAGGGGTGGGGGTGAAGGCAAGAAAGCTTTTTGGTCCATTGTGTCTGTTCTGGCTCCTTTCGTCAGAGCGATCCGTTGCAGGCCCGGCCTTGCCCCATTTCAAAGCCCCCCCACCCCCCATCTTGAATGCGCTCACGCTTTCCCGGTGAACCTCATCCCAGCAGTGAATTCCGCCTCTGCGTAAAGGAATACGTCCTGGTGTCCGTGCCGACAACCAGAGTTCCCCAGTAGTTGCCAGAGTCGCTCACCAAGTGATTACAATAGGACGTTCCCGTCTCTACCCCGACCATCACCAAAAGGGAATGTGCTCGGAGTTTCGCTCGGAATTTTCGCCCCCGCGGGTTCTCTGCGCCTCCGTGCCTCTTGCTGATGTGGCTGCTTATCCCTCAGGATTGCCCCATCGCCTGGGTGAACACCATGGTGTTTGACTACAAGGACCAGCTGAAGACCGGGGACGTCTGGCTACACATGTGGCCATCGATACCTGGTAAGACGCGAATCAGAGCTCAGGCCCCGCATCGCCCTAGTTGAGCAGGTCGTCCCGTCTCTCTCTCTTCCCACGTTGCGCTATCCTGGGGCCTGTAGCGTTGCCGCCTTTGTCAATGTCTCCTTGAGGACAAGCAGGCGAGACTTTGGATGAACATCTCATAACAACAACAACTCGCATTTATATAACGTCCCTCACGCAGGGTACGTCCCAGAGCTCTTGGTGTCCCGAATGCCGAGCGAGAGAGAGCTGATGCCTGAGCCAGGCTGGCGTCTTGACGAACGTTGACTGTGTGTTGCAAAGCGCCGAAGGCTCATGTTAAGCTCAGTAATCACATCGTGTCTGCTTCACAGATGAAAAGGGAGAGCTATTAAACCCGATGGGTACCGTTCAGGGCAACCCAAACACCGACAGTGCCGCAGCTTTGTACGTCCGCTTCCGCAACATGGGATCCTACCCGATTTACTACCCCTCGTTCGATAAGGTTTGCACGGAATTAATTCCTCGGGGTTTGCTTTGTCTCAATGGTGTTCGATTCGGTTGGTGGAAGGAGCCAAGCCGGGGGGAGGGGGTGGGGGGGGCCAGGAGGCGACCACTGGAAAGGAGGATCGCGTGACCTGAAACTCCACCCATCCTTTCGCCCACCCGCCATCGGGCGCTCATTGCAAGGCCGTTTGTGGGACATCGGCCACGAGATACACAGTCGCTACACTTTACAGTAAACCTGGGGTGAAGCGCCAAAGTTCCAAGGATTGGGGGGAACGTTCTTAAATCGAGTCTGTAAAGCGCAGTGACCGGGTGCTGAACGTTTGGACTCAGGGGCTGTTTTGTTTTTCCTTCCTCAGATTCTTGAGTTGGGTAAGAATGGAGACCATTCGAAAGCTTCGCCAACGGAGGTAAACGAGCAACAACGACACTCACGCCAGACTTAAACCCGTGTGCGCCGTATGCCAGCGACACGTGCTCTGCGTGTCTGTGCAGTGAATTCTCAGCACAGAAAGAGGCCATTCAACACGCTTTGAGACGCTATACCAAATGCGAGGATTATTAACATATTATTATCGTGCCTGCGCCACTCCTACCTCGTATCTACCGGTCCCTCTTTCCATCTCTGTTCCGCGCGTCCCTTAGTGTTTTGAGGTGCTCAGCTCCCACTGTTTATTGAACACATTTGTCCGAAACTCTTTCCTTTGTTCGCGTCAAACAGCAACAGCAGCTGAAGGAGATCATGGAACGAAAATCGTGCACCGAATTCTTTGAGGATGAGAAAGACTTGGTGTGGAAGCTGAGGTGGGAATCGCGTGATCATTATTCCGATGCACTCGCTAAACTGCTGTCTATAACCAAGTGGAACAAGCACGAGGATGTGGCCCAGGTAAGGCTGTTATATTAATAAGAATCCCTTGAGTTTAGACGGTTGAGGGTTGATCTGATTGAGGCGAATAAAGGGGTTTCGATACAGAGAAACTATTTCATCTGATGGTTGGGGGAATCCAGAATAAAGGGGGCATCGTCTTAGAATCGGAGCTAAGCCGTTTAGCAGTGAAATCAGGAAGCATTTTTTCACACAAAAGATAGTGGAAATCTGGAACTCCCAACTTGGGGCTTGAACCCACAATCCTCTGACTCCGAGACGAGAGTGCGACCAACTGACCCAGACTGACACACAAGGAAAGGGGTGGGGGGTGGTGGCGTGGAGTGGCGATGGTAATTGGTGACTGGGGAGGGGAATCAGCTGACTGCAGCAGAACCTGATCTTGTTGTTACAGATGATTTACCTCCTGCAGTCGTGGCCGGAGCTCCCTGCACTACACGCCTTGGAGCTCCTGGACTACAGCTACCCCGAGCGCTATGTCCGCTCCTTCGCGATAAACTGCTTAAAAAATCTCAGGTACGTCATCATATTAATAATAATAATAATCCTCGCAATTGGTGTAGCGCTGTAACATCTCGTTGAGATGTCTAGGGATATCCAGTAAAGTGGGCGAAACTCAACACCCAATTGCACACAATAGCGTCCCCGGTGGGGTGTAGCTACTGACATATTTGTTGGCAGCGGATTTGCACGCAGCAAAGCGTGAGAATCCGCCAGATTTCGTCTTGCTTCGGCTTAGGTTGGACATCCTGGTTGAATAAACTCTTCTTTCGCTCCCCGCAGTGAGGAGGAGCTGTTTCAGTATCTCCTACAACTGGTGCAAGTGCTGAAGTATGAACCTTACCTGGACTCGGAACTCACAAAGTTCTTACTGAACAGGGCCCTGGCCAACAAAAAGATAGGACACTTCCTGTTCTGGCATCTCAGGTAAGGATTCTGTTCAAGGAACAGGAATAGGCCACTCCGCCCCTTGAGCCTGTTCCGCCATTCTGTTCGATCATGGCTGATCTGTACCTCAACACCAATTACACACCTAAAGTTGAAAAGGGTTGGCATCTGGCTTTAAACAACAACAACAACATATTACATTTACACAGCGCCTTTCACGTCAGCAGGACATAACAAGGTGCTGGACAGTCAAGGAATTGGACCCGAGCTGGGGCTTTGGGATCAGCAGGGGTGGGGGTAGGAGGCACGGACGAAGAGGAGGGTCTTGAAATGCAAAAATTAATTTAAACGTAAGATTAATGCTTATAATCTCCACAAGCTATTGGAGCTCTCAGCAGTTTGGTTTGAACACTCCTTAAACCAAGTGATTCTGTCCGTATCAAGACACCAGGCTGCCCGAGAAGAGACGCAATTCTCGGTTATATTTCGAACAAATCCCGTTTGTGCTGTTTCAGGTCAGAAATGCATGTCCCAGCGGTCTCACTACGGTTTGGATTAATTCTGGAGGCGTACTGCCGGGGAAATAACTACCACATGAAGTCCCTGATGAAACAGGTGAGTTGATGCAAGTGTATTCATTTCCCATCGTTTAGCTCAGTGTTGCCCAACCTGCGCAAGGAACATTATTATCATTATTTTTATTACTTATTGAGGATAGGTTTGGCCCACAAAATATCCGGTCGACTCGCTTAACGGAATATTCTGCAAAGCGCTTTGAGACGTCTCGAAGACGCGATAAGGCGCTGTATGAAATGCGAGGGTTATTACTGTATTATTGACAACCTCGACGGGTTCTTGTGTGCTTTTCCAGTGCGAATCGCTTAAGAAAATGAAAGCCCTGAACGATTTTGTGAAGTCGAGTTCCCAGAAGACAACCAAGCCGAAAACCAAAGAGGCCTTGCATCTGTTCATGAGGCAGGAAGCCTACATGGAGGCACTCTCCAACCTCCACTCGTCCCTGAACCCCAGCAGCCTCCTCACCGACCTCTGGTATGTCAGACCCAACCGCTCGCTAGGTGTCTGCTCACTGTGGCGCAGCCTTCCTTGAAGGAGGGGAGCGAGGCGAAGGACCGTGGGATGGAGTTCCAAAGGGTGGGGGCGGAGAGGCTGAAGGGCGGGCAGGGCAGGGCAGGCAGGGCCGGGCGCGGCAGTGGGAGTGGGGGGTTGGGGGAGGTGGGTGGGACGCAGAGCGGGCCAGAGCCCGCTGAGCGGAGGGAGGGGATTTTCAGTGTGGGGGGTCCGTTCCTTTGCTCTTGGCCGCTCACGCCTTGCGATGCCTCGCTTCCCCAGGGTGGACAAGTGCAAGTTCATGGATTCTAAAATGAAGCCCCTGTGGATCGTGTACAAGAACGAGAAGTACGACGGCGATCCGATGGGCGTCATGTTCAAAAACGGCGACGGTGAGAGAATATTTCGCCCACTTCGAGATTCCGACCCTCGTCCACTACAACAACTGGGGTTTACGTAACCACCCCTTCCCCACCACCCCCCTCGCGTAGGGTAGTGTCCCAGAGCGATTGACGGTAGCGGAGCATGACACCGAGTCGTTGGGGGTGGGGGGGGAGAGGGGGCGGGAGGTGACCGTAGGCGCTGGTCGAATAGGGAGGTCTGCAAGCGCGACCTGAAGATGGGGGAGGGAGCAGGCAAGAGGGAGGGCATTCCAGAGTTTTACAACGCCTTGGGACGTCCTCCTGACGTGAAAGATGCTGTACATTTGTGGCTGGCGTTTGTGGAACGAGACAGGGATGGGCTGTCAGCCTGGACCAGTTGGTAGCTCTCTCGCCTCCCGAGTCGGAGGGTTGCGGGTTCAAGCCCCGCTACGTTGAGATTTTGTCCGGGCGAACCCTCCACCGCATTGTCAGAGGTTGGAGTCAGTGTAGGGAAGTGCTTTGAGACATTGCGACAACCTGACACAGGGCCTTATCAAACACAATAATTATTATTATTTATTAGTTGTTATTAGTGTTGTGGCACTCGATCCCCAAATTGACAATAACTCTTAAAGCGTTGTAAATTCTTTAAACTCTGGACCGCTCTCCCTCAATCCCTCCGCCTTGCCCCCTCTCTCCCCTTTTTCAAGTCCCTTCCTCTTCGAAACGTGCTTATGGCCACCTGCCCCCCCTCTCCCCCCAACCCCCCACCCACCCACCCCCCACCCACCCCCCCACCCCACTGGCTCGGAGTCTCGCTTTAAATGCTTCCGAGACGCTACCCTGGCTGGAGGGCGCTACACTATATAAGTGCAATTGTTGTCGTTCCCACCGTTAGAATTTCTCTCAGCTCATCGTCCTTTTCTGTTCGTTTAAAGAAGATTTTTTTTTGACTGTCCATAGATCTTCGTCAAGACATGCTAACGATTCAGATGATTCAGCTCATGGATGTCCTGTGGAAACGACAGGGCCTGGACTATAGGTAAGGAAGGACTTCTTCTTAAACCTGGCTGCAGGGGTAACGCGAGCGGATTCCAGGGGAGGGTAGAGAATGCGGTCACTCAATCCACCACTGTCTGTGGGACGAGGGCTGCCATGTTGTGCAATTGGCTGCCGTGTTTCGCCTGCAAAGTACGCAGTCAAAGTGCGAGACGTCTCAAAGTGCTTCACAGGAAAGTGGAGTGACTCACAGCCAACTCGGCAGCCAATTGCGCACAGCAGTGCCTGATGACATTTAAGTCCTCCCGACACGAAAGGTGCGATGACAAACGTGGGTTATCAGTAGATATTAGTATTAATGGTTGGGAACGATTGTTCTGAACTGAACGTCTGCGTTCTTCGTGTCTCAGGATGATCCCATACGCCTGCCTTTCCACCGGAGACAAGACGGGACTGATCGAGGTGGTCTCTCGGTCCGAGACGATCGCCAACATCCAGCTCAATAAAAGCAACATGGCAGCCACGGCAGCCTTTAACAAGGACGCACTGCTGAACTGGTTAAAATCCAAAAACCCCGGGTAAGAGCGATCTCCAAGTGCGCCCAGTGGGGTCTGCGCAGAATTGGCACACGGGGAGGCCATTCGGCCCCTCATGCATGTCCCACCACTGCCTCCTCTTCACTGATACATTGGCCCTAACGGTGGTCCTAGCTGGACAAGCAGCGGGAAAGCTTGCCAGACAGCAATATCAATGGCAAGCTCTACGGTTTTAGATGGTTAAACTCCACCAGTTACCCCCAACGCTCCCCCCCCAAGCCTTGGCTCTTGCCAACCTTCGCCTAAGACTTTCCGGAATTAGGTAAGCAAGAATGCGTCCCTCCAGAGAGAGAGAGAGAGAGAGAGAGCATTCCATTGCAACAACCTATCTCTGGGATTTCCATGTATAGGTGGGATGCGTGAAATTCTCAATACTCTGACACCCGGCTGACCCAAACAAAACAAAAAACTGTTGAATGTTTACAACCACAACACGAAAATTGCATTTGTAAAGCGCCTTTCACGTCAGGAGGACGTCCCAAGGCGCTGAACAGCCAGGGATCAGGACCCGAGGGTGGGGGGAGGTGGCAGGGTTGGGATGAGGGAGGGCAGAGGGGGTCGGAGGGTCTTGAGTTGTCCCTCGAAGGAGGCAAGAGTGGGCGCGAGGCGAAGGTTTTGTGGGGTGGAGTTCCGAAGAGTGGGGGCAGAGAGACTGAAAGCCCGGCCGCCGATGGTAGGGCGGGTCGGGCGGGAGACCTGGAGCAGGCCGGAGCCCGCTGAGCGGTGACATCCTAGTAACCCTACACTGACCTCTCGCCATTACCACAATACCCTTCTGGGAAGAACGCTGACCTGAACCGTACACAGAATTCTCGGTGTGGTCTAACCAAGCGTTTAGACAATTGTAACGTTACTTCCCCACTTTTGTACCCTGTTCCTCTGGACATAAAACCCAGGTCCCAATCTGCATTCGTCACAGTAAAGTGCGGTGTCTGTGGGACGTTTCTGTGTAGAAATCGCCTCCTCCTTCGCCCGTGATATGCACAAACACGAAACGAATGACCCGTCGTTGATGGAACCCAAATAGAATTGCATCCACTTGGGATTGGTTAACTCTTGTTAGGTCGTAGCGACATGTTTATATCTTCTTTATCTTACAGGGAAGCACTGGATCGAGCTATAGAGGAGTTTACCCTCTCGTGTGCTGGCTACTGTGTAGCCACGTACGTACTAGGAATTGGTGACCGACACAGTGACAATATTATGATTCGGGAAAATGGACAGGTAGGAAGGAATTCAAAGTGTTTTTGCCTCCGTCCCCACACCCCCCCACCCCACCCCACCCCACACACACAGGGAGGGGACTGTCAAAACACAGCGATATGTAATGCTCTGTTAACAAGCCCGTCATAGCATAATTGGCCAAATATTTCTCTAAAAGGCCGTCGCGTTTGATTCAGCGCCATCCGTGTCGGGAGGACATCTCCAAGAGCTTCACACCAACCACAGCAACGACAACTCGTGTTTAAGTAGCGAGGGATAGAGTCTCGGAGCGCTGCACGGTGGCGGAGTTAGAAGGCTGGAGAGAAGGACGGGAGGGGGAGGGACGTGGTCATAGGCACGGTCGCAGAGGCAAGCCTTAAAGGTGAAATTTAAAGATGGATAAGGTGGGGGCGGGAGGAGTTGGCGGATTTATTAATTAGAATTGATAATTTGTGAATCACAGGATTTACGGTAATAATCATAATCCGTACTCTGTGAGTCTCGTATTAAAATAACATACTCTTGTTCTTCTGTCCCCTCCCCCATTCTTCTTGACCCCTCCACCCACGCCACCCCACCCCACACCACCCCCCCCACCCTACACCCCCACCCACAGCTTTTCCACATTGATTTCGGGCACTTCCTGGGAAACTTCAAGAGTAAGTTCGGGATCAACAGGGAACGGGTGCCATTCATCTTAACCCACGATTTTGTGCACGTGATTCAACAAGGCAAAACCAGCAACAGTGAGAAGTTTGAGAGGTAATCCAGGCCCGACAACAAAACCTGGGGAAGGGAGGGGGTTTAAAGGCTTTGCAAATTACGCTGGTCTTAAAGTCACGGCATATCACGAGGGTAGTGGAAATCTGGCACTCTCTCCCTCCCCCGAAAGGCTGTGGATGCTGAGTCAAATGGGGTGATTTGATTTGAGGTGTTTAAAATGACAAAGGGATTCGATAGCTGTAACTACAGAGAAACTATTTCCTCTGGTGGGTGGGGGTAACTCCAAAGCAAGGGGTGGTGGGCGGGGGTGGGGGGGTGGTGGTGGGAGGGTGCCATCATCTTAAAATCAGAGCCAGGCCATTTAGGAGTGAAATCAGGAGGCAGTTTTTGTCACAAAGAGTCGCGGGAATCAGGAACTCTCTCCCTCTCCAGCTGTGGATCCATTCGAATTTTCAACGTGGAAAGATATTTGTGAGGTCAGGATATCAAGGGAGAATGGCGGAACAGGCTCGAGGGGCTGAATGGCCTCCTCCTGTTTCTGCGTCCTTATGTTCCTGTAAACCGCCCTGTCCATGCAAGAAGGGAAGGGGCTAAGATGGAATATTTCTAAGAAATATTCTCTCTTTCTTCCCTCCCCCGTGGATGGAGCCAGAGTTCAAAGTCACATTTTATTTGAGAGTGAGGGGGAGTGGTGGGGGGGAATAAAAAATAAATTCCTTTCGCCCAAACCCCTGCTGTCAGGGCAGATATTTCGGTCTGGAATGTTTTTTTTTGGTGGGGGGTGGGTGGGGCTGTAACTCCGGAAGATTCACACGGAATTCTCTTTTTATTTTTCTCTTCTCTTTTTTCCCCCTTTCTTTTTCTCTCCTCGGCTGCGCGGGAAAAAAAAAATAAAACGACGAAGGTTCCGGAAGTATTGCGAGCACGCCTACATGATTCTCAGGAAGCACTGTCCTCTCTTCATTAACCTCTTCGCTCTGATGCGAGCAGCTGGACTGCCTGAGCTCAGCTCCTCCAAAGACATCCAGTACCTCAAGGTGAGCGACTTTGCCCACTCGGCAGGAAGCTTTCGGGCTCCGTTAGAAAACCCGGCGAGCCCTTTGCCCGTCGCTGTTGGCCGACGTGGAACCGCGCGCACATGGCACGCACGTGGCCCCCGAGGCAGCAAGAGCCTCCCCTGCTGCCGTGCGTGACTCAGTCACTTGGCACCTCCCAACTGCTCCGATCTGCTTGCTCCCCACTCCACTAACCCAGCGACTGGCTCCAGCCTCCTGCTTGTTCCTCTTTTGCCCCCCCCGTTCCACCGTCGTTGGTCGCGCTTTCAGCCACTACGCGCCAAACTCTCCCTCAAACACTCCACCTTNCCCACCCCTCCACCTTTCCGTCCCCACCTTCAGGTTAAGACCTTCCTCTTCGATTGTGCCTAAGGTCAACCTCTCCCCTCCCTCTGGCTGTCCTGTGTGAGGGGCGCTTATATACATGCAAGTTGTTGGTGGTCACGCACTCTGCTTAGAAACCCCCCCACCCCCCAGTGCTGTATTGGAGCATCAGCTCAGACTACATGAGCTCCGAGTCCTGACATGGGGCGGGGGGGTGACTCGAACTTGAATGAGCTTGAATTAATTTGAATTGCTGGCCGTGTTTGCTCGACAGGATTCACTGGCTTTAGGGAAAACCGAAGAAGAGGCACTGAAACACTTCAAAATGAAATTCGACGAAGCTCTGAGGGAGAGCTGGAAGACCAAGGTGAACTGGATGGCTCATAACGTGGCCAAGGACAATAGATCCTAGCTGAGCTGGATCTATTATGAAGATTATTATTATATTTATTATTATGATCTATTATGAGAGAGTGAGAGATCGAGAGAGAGAGGGCGAGATCGAAAGAGAGAGAACAGAGGACAAGTGACAGATAAACCGCCCCACCAGCGTGTCACACCTACAAATACTGGGACAACACTTTAGCTGACGGGCTGTGTGAGTGCGTGTGCGAAAACCACAGAAATGTTCTCTCTCAACACTTTGTTTTGTTGCCCCCACCCCACCCACCCCACCTCTGATGGACTGATGGACTCCGAGAGAAAGATATTTACATGAGCAAAGCAAGGCATCAGAATCTGGACAATCTCCCCCCTCTCTTTCTCTCCCATCTCCTCCTCCAACCCCTCTCCCCCACAACCCCCCACCACCACCACGAACTCGCTGGTCCTCGACTTAAAACGAACAAGGCGTTTAAAGTACTCAGACTCTTGCAGAATTTGGGGAGATGTTTCGGACAACTCTGCCTTTCGTTTGCCGGAAAGTTGACCACAAAGGATGGTGTGTGTGTGTGGTGTGTATGTGTGTGTGTGTGTGTTAAAAGAGCCGGTCAGCTCCAAGAGTCGGGGCAGTGCGTGTATTTTTTTTCCACCACAATAAAAAGGCTGCACAATTACTGATGTTGACGAGGTAGAGGCTTAAGGAGCAGGAAAACTTTTGCGACTCTCCACCACCAACAACCACCACCATCAATTTGCTCGCCAGATGAACGGCACCGTCTACAAACAAACACTTCTCTCCCCTTCGTGGTCTTGAGCTCGGTTGGTTAGCAGAATCGGAAACGCACGTTTTATTTCGACCTCGTCCCTGCCTTCTCCGTCACCTCGTCTGGTTATCATCACCAACGTTTGCTCTTCTTCTCTCTCTTCGGTGCTGCACAATAAGTCTGGCACCAAGAGTGAGCATTAAAATAATAATAATAATAATACATGCATTTGATACAGCGCCTTATCACGTCGTTCAGACGTCTCAAAACGCTTCACAGGACACGCTGTAAAGTAAATTGACTGTCTATTTTGTGGGCGAAAAACGGCAGCCAATTGCGCCCGGCAGAGTCCCCACAAACAGTCGTGGATTGAAGTGACCAAATTATGATCATAATTTTTTTTTGAAGGGGATTTGTACCTCCGGAAAAGTGATCCGCTCTGTCGACTAACAACCGGGTTGGATCGAGTGACCAAATTATTATTGTTGTTGTTTATTTTTAAGCGGATAACTTAGCATCGGATAACTTAAGTCTCTTGTTTGTCGGTATGTCCCTGGAGCGTGAGACAGTGCTTCTGTGAAGCATTTCCCTGTTCACCAGCTTAGCCGGGAACAGGCACAGCCCAGGCTTTGTGCGACACGGTGGATTTGAAGCGTCCGCCAATGGGGGAGAAAACAAAAAAGCGACTCCAAAGCAAGTCACGAAGCGAAGGGAAGGGGTCTCTTTATCTGCGAAGAATTCTGATCACCCGGTATTTTTTACCATAATGTTCGTCAAAGACCAATCACACAGCCAGTCTCTCTTGGACCCTCGACGTACAAGAGTTTGGCGAGTGGGATTGAGTCTGCGTGAATAATAATAATAATAATAATAATAAGGCAGCTTTCAATAACTTTTGTTTTAAAGTTAAAACCAGACCCACTTTTGAGTCGATTTTTTTTGTTCGTTTGTTATTTTTTTGCATTTTAGATTGCGAAAATGGGAGGGAAAATGCTTCTATTTATTAACGTTTGAAAAAAAACATTTTCTCCCGAAGGTTTCCGGCTTTTGAGGGCGCTGTCAATTTTGTACGTCGCTCTGCAGAGAAGGAACTACAGTAAATTCCTGAGTTTGCCCCCACGCCCCCCACACCCCGTCTTCTCCTTCAACTCCCCCCCCCCCCCCCCACCCACCCCACCTTTAGATATCGGCAAGAAACCATCACTCCATTAGAAAATAATGTCTCAGTATATAGTTTGGGGGTATGACATGTCAAGCGACTGCCAGGAATGGTGGAAGCTGAACTGAAAGGACCTCGGTCTTCTTTCGCTTAGCAAATTCTTATGTTCTTATAATAAACCACTTGAAACTGAAGACCTGGAATAACCACTGTGGACGTGTAACACTGCACTCTGAACATTTCTGCTCCAGATCCCTTTTCAGTCATACCAATTTCAACCAAAGTCGCCTTGCCTTGGCAGCGTTTGTCAGTACGAATGAGGCAACTGTGTATTTGCACCTTTGGAGGGGTTTAAAATGTGCCTTTGGGTTTCTGTTTTGCTTCTTCTGCAGACCTGTTTGTTGTAAATGAGCTATTTAATATTTGCCTATTTAAAAAAAAAGACTCTGATTTGTGTTTCATCGTGCCGTCCATAATGAAGCTTTCGTGTGTGTGTGTGTGTGTGTGTGTATGTGTGTTAGAAATCTGGAAATAATTAAACAATTGTTCCTGAAAGGAAATGTTTACAAAAATGGTTATCGCAGAACGTCTAAAGTGCTTTGTGTGAACTTAATTTTGCTGTCCCGAATTCGCCCCTACCACCCCCCCCCCCCCTTACACACACACACACACGTATGTGTGTTTTTCTATTGAAAAAAAATTATTCTCGATACACTTCTGGAGGGAGTGAAATTGTGTTTTGTGCACAATCTCTACGTTCCGATGTCTCTATGTTCCAAAGTCTAAAAATGTGTATAAAGACGTTATTATTTGGATGAGGTGGTACTGCTCTTTATTTGACTCCTGCTTCTAAACAAATAAATAAAGAAGTTAACCTTACATTTGATACCTCACTGTCAGAAAGAGGTCTCAAAACTTTATTCCTAGGATTTACTGTAAAGCGTAGTGACTGTATTTTGTAGGTAAGCGTGATGAGTTGCCATAGAAAGAAATACAAAGTCTCTCTCCCACCCTTTAAAAGAGGACGGAGAGGTTAAATGAGGTGCTTTGCCCTTCGCAAAATGGTCAGCCTGTTTTATTTCTAAACTTCGGGCAAATTGCTTGGAGCATTTCGTCAGGGCTCAAACTCACGACATTCCACACAAAAGGCTTGCGATGTGAGCGAGACACACAAAGGGCCCTGTTATAAGAGCAAAGGAAACATGTGGAGCGAGACCGAGCAGAGCAAACCCTTTCTGAAGGAGCGTGTAAATGCTCAGCGCCACGCACTCTCACTTGACGTATTAGATCTCCTGACTGGTTCGCATTCCACGGAAGATGTTCCCACGATGGCTGTGCGGAATGCAGTCGGTCAGGAGACCAGGACTGAGACCGTCGGAGCCGCGAGCCATTCCCGATGATTGATTGAAAAGGTTGCACGGAGATCAATATCTCGCGTCGATCGAAATAAAGATCGGTCGTTGGGTGTCTGCGGTGAGGATGTATTGCTGCTCCGTGTATTGTTTTATGTCGACTCCAAAGCTGAGACAAAGTTATTTCATTAAACTGTTGCTCCCAACTGTTGTTTCGACCGAAAAATGCACAAGACTTTACGGTCTACTCTGCGAAGCGCTTTGAGACGTCTCGAAGCCGTCTATATCAGATGCAAAGGTTATTATTTTATTTTTATTTCCTTCTCTGCTCCTTTCCCCCAATGAAATGCTGCACCAAACATGAGGCTGTAGTGCCATCTGACGTTCGCAAAAGTACATCACTCCCCCTCTCCCCCCCCCCCCCCCGTTTGACCTCCACCTTTCTTACAATAAAAATGTGGGATTTGACTTCCACAATGTTGCTCCGTTGCCCCTCTTGAAGGAATTGACCATCTTCTGCCTTCAAAAAAAGTTACCTATAATTCTGCCCGCGCCTCTGGTCAAATTCCCCCGTCCTTTCGGCTCCGCTTGCATTTGATATAGCGCTTCAATCGCATTGTTGAGACGTCTCAAAGGAGAGAGGGGGAGAGGGGGAGCGAGAGAGGGGGAGAGAGGGAGCGAGAGAGGGGGAGAGGGGGAGCGAGAGAGGGGAGCGAGCGAGGGGGAGAGGGGGAGCGAGAGAGGGGGAGAGAGAGAGGGGAGCGAGAGAGGGGGAGAGAGGGAGCGAGCGAGGGGAGGAGAGGGGGAGGGGAGCGAGAGAGGGAGCGAGCGAGGGGGAGGGGAGCGAGAGGGGGAGTGAGAGAGGGAGAGGGAGGGGGGGGGAGCGAGAGAGGGGGAGAGGGAGGGGGAGAGAGGGAGCGAGAGGGGGAGTGAGAGAGGGAGAGAGGGGGAGAAGGGGAGAGAGGGGGAGAGAGGGAGCGAGAGGGGGAGCGAGAGAGAGCACTACCGACTGCGCGAGGCTGACATACAAAGCAAACCCCCCCTCTATATGTACAATAATAATAATATATAATTCCCGTCCGATCACGTCGTCGAGACGTCTCAAAGCGCTTCCACGGGACACACTGTAAAGTGTAGTGACTGTGTGTTTTGTGTCTATCCCTCTCTCTCTCTCCCTCTGTTCCTCTCTCTCACTCTTTCTTTCTTTCTTTCTTTCTTTCTTTCTTTCTTTCTTTCTTTCTTTCTTTCTTTCTTTCTTTCTTTCTTTCTTTCTTTCTTTCTTTCTTTCTTTCTTTCTCTTTCTTTCTTTTTTTTTCTTTCTTTCATTCCTTCTTTCCTTTCTTCTTTCCTTCCTTCCTTTCTTTCTCTCTCTCTCTCTCTCTCTCTCCCACTCCTCCTCTCCCCCCTCACTCCCCCCTCACTCACTCACTCCCTCCCTCTGGTCTCGGGGGAGGGCTTTCACTGTGACACAGGGCCTCGGCGCTGATTGGATAAAACCTGGTGCGGAAACCGGTCCGTCCCCGAAACCCTTCCCCGACACCACCCACACAGACACACATCCACAGACACAGAGTGACAGACACCGACACACAGACAGGTGAGCCATCAGCCCCGGGGGGGGGGGGGGGATCAGAGCTATTTGCCGCCTTCCCCCTCACTCCCCCCATTGCCTCCTTCACGGCCCATCTCATGGCCCTCCTCTTCGACCGCACCTTCTGTCACCCCCACACCCCCCACACCCCCACACACACCCCACACCCCCCACACCCCAACCTCCCCCCACACCCCCAACCTCCCCACACCCCCCACACCCCCACACCCCAACCTCCCCCACACCCCAACCCCCCCCCACACCCCCCCACACCCCCACACCCCCACACCCCCAACCCCCACACCCCAACCCCCCCCCCCACCCCCCACACACCCCCACACCCCAACCCCCCCCCCACACCCCCCCACACCCCCCCACACCCCACCCCCCCCCCACCCCCACACCCCCCACCCCCCACCCCACCCCCACACACACCCCCCACACCCCAACCCCCCCCACACCCCCAACCCCCCCCCACACCCACACCCCCCCACACCCCCACACCCCCACCTCCCCCCCACACCCCACACCCCCCACACCCCAACCTCCCCCCCACACCCCCACACCACCCCCACACCCCACCCCCCACACCCCACACCCCCCCACCCCCCTTTTCCCTGCACCCCCTCCTGATCCCAACCCTCAGCTCGGGTCCGAATCCCTGACCGTCCCCCAACGCCGCGAGAAACATCCGCCCCCACGTGAAAGGCTCTGTGTAAACCAAAGTTGTTGTCTTTCTCTCCTTCCCTTCTTTCTCTCTCCTTCCCTTTCATCCTCTCCTCTCCTCTCTCCTCTCTCTCTCTCTCTCTCTCGGGATTGAATCCAGTCCCAGCGATGGCGTCCCGGGGGAAAAGCGAGACCAGTAAACTGAAGCAAAACCTGGAGGAGCAGCTGGACAGACTGATGCAGCAGCTGCAGGATCTGGAGGAGTGCAGGTACAAAGGCCACGACAGCTTGTGTTTACGCTGCGCCCCTCCCCCAGGCTGGAGTCCCGGAGCGAGGGCGAGGGTCTCACCGGGAACGTCAGGCGAAAGCTCGCGTGAGTCTCGTGGCCGTAAGTTTCCCTGCGCCTGGGAACAGGAACCCGGTTTCCGCTTCCGATTCGCGTTCCGGAGTCACGTTAGGCCCCGAGTGAGGTGACTCCCGTCCCTGACCCGGTTATCGTTCCTTTTCGCGCCTTTTCTCTCTTGACGTGGGTTCGGTTACCGGGTTTGGGTCGTGTGACCCGACATTTAACTGTCGTTTGGCAAAGGTGGGGCACATTTTTTTCCATTCCCCCACCTCTCACACACACCCACACACCCACACACACTCACATACACTGAGCTGCTCAAATACAACCTTCCTTTCAAATAACAGTGAGAAAACTTTAGTGCACTTGCCCCCGGAGTGCAGATGGGGAGGGGAGGGGAGCCTTTAAGTGGGTATCTCGTACTCCCATCACTAAACGTATAATCGAGTTTGATCGCATCGCAAGGGTTGCTCAGTCGGTAACTCTCTCTCTCTCTCTCTCGCCCCTCTGGGCCAAAGGGTCAGAAGCTTGCGGGTTCCAATCCATGTCAGCGCTAAAGCCGGCCTGCGTAACCCTCACTTCACCTCTTAACGAGTCTCGCTCTGCGACGTGCTTTAAGGCATTTCTTTCGAGATGTCTCGACGAGGTGATCGTGCGAGGATTATTATTGCTCTTGTTTTGAAATAATAATAATCCCTGCATTTGTTTTTTTCCGCCCCTGATCATCTCGTTGATGCGTCTCAAAGCGATTATACTGTAAAGTGAGTTGACTGTGTATTTTGTGGGCGAAATGCGGCAGCCAATTGCGCACAGCAGCGTCCCCACAAACAGTAGTGGATTGAAGTGACCAAATTATTATTGTTTTTTTTTCTTGAGGGATTATTATCAGGCGTGTGGAGTAAGGAAACCTGCCCAAGGTTTCGCCCTGACCTGCTGGGAATCGAACCCAGGTTCTCTCGCTTGCGAGTGCTCTAACCCCTGAGTTACAGGACTCCACTTGAAGGCGGAACGTGCTGTGGAAACGGCGACTAACTCGATTGTCGGGCAAATGCTTATTTGTGGCCCTTCGTTGTTTCAGAGACGAACTCGAGCCGGAGGAATACGAGGAAACGAAGCAAGAAACACTGGAGCAGCTGAGCGAGTTCAATGAGTCCCTGAAGAAGATCATGTCGGGAGATATGACGTTAGTTGATGAACTCAGCGGAATGCAGCTCGTAAGAACTGGAGCCGATCAGCGTTTAATTGATGTAACAAAGGAGCTGTTGACCGGATGGGAACACAGTGAAGGGAATGTGGGATGGAGTTCCACAGGGTAGGGATAGAGAGGCTGAAGGCCTGACCGCCATTGGTGGGGTGGGCCAGGCGGGGGACGTGGAGCAGGCCAAAGCCTGCTGAGCAGAGGGAATGGACCGGTTGATAAGGGGTCAGCAGGCCACAGAGGTGGAGGGGGAAGAGATAGTTAAATGCGACTGAAAGGATTGCACTTTGAATGAGCCAACACCATGGACCAAATGGCCTTCTGTGCTTTGAATTTCTGGTTTTTTTTTTTTGCTCATCGAGAAGCTCGCACCTCGAGGGAATGTTTTTTTTTCTTTAAGTGCAAAGCTGGTGCTGCCGTTAAGCTTATTTTTTTCTTTCTTTCCCTGAACTGAAAAGCTTTTGATAATTTTCCTCCAAACAGGCGATCCAAGCGGCTATCAGCCAGGCCTTTAAGACTCCAGAAGTCATCCGAATGTTTGCCAAGAAACAGCCCGGGCAGCTGAGGACCAGACTGGCAGAGGTGAGCTCCTCGACTCGGCATCTGGGTGTAACGTAATCCCTCAAGAAAAAAACCCACAATAATAAATTGGTCATTTTCAATGCACGACTGTTTGTGGGACGCTGCTGTGCTCAATTGGCTGCCGCGTTTCACCCACACAAAAAAAAAATGTACAGTTCGCTTTACAGCCTATTCTGTGAAGCGCTTTGAGACGTCTAGAAGACGTGATCAAGTGCTGTATCAAATGCAAGGATTATTAATTATTATTATAACGCGCCAATTTAGATAGATACTTGAAAAGAAAACATTTGCAGGGTACGGGGACAGAGCGGGGGGAATGGGACTGGTTGGCAGCTCTTCCAAAGAGCCAGCACAGGCACGATGGGCCGAATGGCCTCCTGTGCTGTAATATTGTAGGATTTGTCCGGGACTCTCCACCTGGTAACCCAACAACATTGCAGTCCAGCAACTGTGTGGGAATATACAAGATCATAAAAGGTTACCATTCCCTTTGCGTATGTTGGATGCTCAGATTTCTTTGGTGAAAACATCTGGGTGCAGCTGGACTGTCCAAAGGATCAAAGCCTCAACCTCCGCAGTGTTAACTTTGTTCCTTCAGATGGAGCGCGACGTGATAGTCGGAAAACTACCGAGAGACGTTTACACGCAGCAGAAGGTTGAGGTGCTCACAGCCTTAAGGAAGCTGGGCGAAAAGGTAACCAACTTGCAACCAAAAGACAGCCAACTGAGGAAGATTGTCTATCATTCAGCGAGGTCCAAATGGGGAAAGATATAATGGTCAATGCAATGGTTGTCCAACATATTGGTAGCGGGTGGGTGGGCTAGGGAGGGAATCCTTTATGTTTATTGAGTGCCATCGCCCCAGTGGCAAGAGTCATCTCGTTGTACAGGATATTTTTATGGCTGGAGCACTGTCTAACCTTGCTGGCCACAATGTGGTGATGCTGTTAGATGCCTCTGTCCTGGGCGATACTTTTGCTGTGTTGTGGAGTCCGAGATGCACCTTCGTTGGCCGCCCAGTTGGCTGTTTGGTTCTGCTGTGACGGGATTCATTGTTCTGCCCTTTCGTTTAAGCTGACGCCAGAGGAGGAAGGCTTTCTCTCCGCGAACACGAGCGCCACGCTCAGTCAGTTTGAGAAGGTCTCGGTCAACCTAGGTGAGTCGATCAGCTCCTTGTCAACCAGAGTGACAGTCTCTCTCTCTCTCTCTCTCTCTCTCCCCGTTTCCCCACCATCGGCGGTCGGCCCTTCAGCCTTTCTGCCCCCACCCACTCTTCGGAACTTCAACCCACCATCCCTTCACCTCGCTCCCTCTCTTGCCTCCTTCAAGGCACGTCTCAAGTCTAGACTGTGAGTTCAAAGCCCCAACATGGGGCTTGAACCCACAACCTTCAGACTCTGAGGTGGGGGAGGTGAGAGGGGCGGGGGTGGGGGGGCGTGGGGGTGTTGAGAATGCTGCCAACTGAGCCAGGCCGACGTTCCTGACACTCAGTGTAAACCCAGAATGATAAATAATGCACGAGTCCAGGAGGAAATAAGTAGGCTGGTCATTTCATTAATAACTAAAAAAAATTGGAACATCCACCTTCGTGAAATATTTATTCCGACGGGGTACATTATTAATAACTTGATAAAGTAGGCAAACTTGTAGAGTGTATGCAAATCAAAGCCATTCTTTCTTCTTAATATATTAACAGTCCTGTATTGTTGCCAAAGAGCCAAAATGATACCAGAAGGGGGGACCCTCCTCTTCGACAGCGCTTTTAACCGCCCTCCTACCCCCCCCATCCTCCTAGCCCCTCCACCTCTCCTGATCCCAAACCCCAGCTCGGGTCCGAATACCTCAGTCCAGGGCCTCGGGACGTCCTCCCGAAGTGATCCAAATGTAAGTTGTCGCTGCTGCTGTTTCCTCTGAACATCTCTTGTGCTATCTATGACCTTAACAGGAGCTGGGGACAAAGTCTTCGCTCTGGCCAGCAGGGGAGTGGAGAACACACAGAAGTGAGACACCTTTTTAGACCTTTCACGCACCGCACCGTTTTTCCAAGATCACGTCCAGTTTTCTACGTTTACGTACTCGGCACGACCACCTTCCCGCTTGTGTGAAGATGTGTTGTTGTTGTTGTTTTCTGGCTGGTCTGAATGTAAAATTTGGAATCGACCATCCACGGCCTGCTACTTGATAACCGCAGCCACCCCCCCAACCTCTTTGTACAGGGTGTGTGCAAAGTCCTGTTACCCTCCCCGTGTCTCTGTGTGTGTGTGTTGTGTTTTTTTTTTAAACTACAGTGCACTGACTCTCAACTGAAACGTGTGGAAGAATGATGATCATCGCATTTAGAAGTGCTTAATTCGGTACGAGGGGTTAACTGTGGTCCAGAGGATCGGAGTGTGCGTGCGAGTGTGTGTGTGTGTGCGCGAGCGAGTGTGTGTGTGTAAAGGCCGTCATTTTCGTGGCAGATAATTTATCCGTTGCCATGTTCAGCGCCAAATCTTCTGTAACACGGACGGCCTGAGTGACGAGGAAGTTATTGCTCGACTGCAACAGGAAATAAAAATTAATTGTAAGAAAAAAAGTAAATGACGGGTGGGGGGGGGGGGGGGGTTAACAGAACCCTGTACAATTCCTGCCTTAACACTAATGACAAGCCACACGATGTCTTGAAAGGTATTTCTACAATTTTTTTGAAATCCCTGTGCTAGCAGCGTTGGTTCAGTTCAGCTACAAATAGTGAGGGAGAGTTTCCACCGGGTTCTAGATTTGCAGTAATAATAATAATAATTGCTAAATCTAGGTTTACTCTTTATTTTCGCAGCATTTAAGAGTGTCCGTAATTTGGTGAATTGGTTTGTTGATTTCAGTCTTTGAAGTCTATGTTTTTTTTTTTCCTGGAGTTTCTGAAAAACGGCCTCAAAACGTGAGCCGCAACACTCCGAAATGCTGCTGAACAATAAATACTTTTTATTTATACGAATAAAATATGAACACATAAATCAATATGTAAATAGAGCAAACCGAGACCCAATGGAATTTCTCCCCAAACATTCTGAAAGCTTGTACTCGTGTGTACACATGCCTGGGTTCAGGAGACATTGTAGTCTTACAGCACAGTTTTCTTGCCCTAACTAACGTTCTATTTATCCACAAATAAGCAGCGGTGCACAGTTTGGTAGCAAACTGCCCTCATTATGCCCCAGTCTGCATTTTCTTTCCCCGTGATGTTTCTGTGGACTGTATATTTGAATACATGGGAACGTTAAACATTGCCTTCATTTCTTTAGCATATTTCTTTGTTTTCTTCAAATCAGTCTTCCTATTTCTTTTCTTATATGAAGAATGTACTGTGTGGGTTTTGTTTTATACATAAAAAAAAGTTCAAATAAACCAGGCAGCTGTTTATTTTCTGTGATCCTGGATTGCATCTCTGTTATTGTCAAAATTCCTTTCGCATTTTATAGTAATACTGCACTTGTATTTGATGGAGCCTCATTATCTTATTTAGACGTTTCAAAGCGCTTCACAGAATATATTATAAAGTGGAGTGACTGTGTTTTGTGGATGGAACACAATCAATTTTGTAGGCCATTTGGGTTTGTATGCCTTTAAAATGCTGTCTGTGAAAGGGAGCTCCCTGATTAACTAAGGAGTAGAAATTGATTCTTAATTTGCCATTCGCTTGTTTTAAGAGCTGTGGCGTTTAAACGTGTGTGCAACGTACACAGTCACTACGCTTCACCTCTTTTGGTTGGCCAAAAAAAAAAAATGTTTCCCGATTGAATGTTTCCATTTATCGTACGGCGTAAATCTTTCCTATTTTGTTATTTCTATGATTATTTTGTTGGTCAACCGAAAAGGTTGGCGATCACTGCTCTACAGAATATCCTGTGAAGCGCTTTTGAGCCCTCTTCCAGATGTGACACGCGCCGCGTCGAATACAAGGATCGTTGTTAATGATTCACTGAACTTGAGAATGTTCTGTTTTTTCTACACAGTCAAACGTATTAAGGCCGTAGTCTTCTAGTTGAAACTGAGAATCTCTGTGCCTTTGGTAGGATTGCTGAACCTGATATTCCCCGCCCAGGCAAGGTCAACAAAAACAATTTATATGTAATGTCTCTCAAAAGGTAATTTTCTTGCTTCGTTGAACTTGAGGGTGTAGTTTTAGTATTTGAAACACCAGGAGGCACTATTCTAAAATAGAATTATTATTGTTAATTAAAAACAATCCACTTATACAACAGCTTCCATTTATGTAGTGCTTTTCGTGTGAGGTAATGTCTTGAAGCCTTGAATATATTGCCTTGAAACCCTGGGCAAGTTTCCTTTACTCCACACAGAGCCTAATAATAATCCCTCAAGAAAAACAGAATAATAAATTGGTCACTTCAGTCCACGGCTGTTCGCGGGGACGCTGCTGTGCGCGATTGGCTGCCGCATTTCGCCCACAATTATGCAGTCAATTCACTTTACAGTATATTCTGTGAAGCACTTTGAGACGTCGAGAAGACATGAAAAGCGCTATATCAAATGCAAGGATTATTATTATATATCCCGTTACAAATTATTGCATCTCTCCCAATCGTTCATTTTGCAGAGCCGTGACTTAGTGTCTTGAGGGACTGATGGTCTAAACGCAGTAAATGGATCTTTAACAGACAGGTGGGACCTTGGTTTAATGTCTCATCCAGCAATGCATTGGAGCCTCAGCCTAGACTATATAAGATCAAGGTCGTCGCACAAAGGATGTTAAACCTGACGGCCCACCTCATCCCCCCCCGTGTGAATATGAGATGACGTAGATATAACCTTTCAGTGCAAACCTGTCGTAGCGAACCATTGAATATCGCCATTACTGTGTGAGTGACCTTGCAACTTAAACACATTCCCTACGTATTAAGTGAAGAGTTTATTGAAATGAAAACAAATTCAACTTGTGTGCATTTGGGTCGCGAGGCATCGTTGATTTATCCGGATAATTCAGATGCCAATAGAGAGATGAATAGGGAGCTTCTGCCAAGGGAACAACAGGAGTTCCCAAGAGCTGTCACACTCTGCCCTCGACTGTGTAACGTTCACTGGTAACCCTTTGACTAAATGATTACTGAAAGCAGATCTGTCAGCGTAACATTAATTGGCCAGAGGAAAAGATAACCAAAATCTTCAGGTTTATAGTTGAAGTCAAAACGCCTGTCTCTGAATGCCAACCGTCTGGTAAATCTTACATGTAGTTGTTGTGTTTTGCATTAGTCTTCAATGAAGGAAAGAACTTTACAGTATGTTCTTTAGTCAGTTTTTTTACGTATATAACTTTACAACCAATTCACTTTACAGTATATTCCGTGAAGGGCTTTGGGACATCTCGAAGAAGTGATAAGGCGTTATATCGAATGCAAGGATTATTATTATTATTAATATAAATACTCATTCACTTACCTCCATTTTAAACATGTCAGTTGAATTTGCTTTTACAACCTGGGACAGGGTGTTGCACATTCTCCCAACCCTCTGTGTAGAAATGTTGCTGGTAATTGTAGAAGGATTATATAATTAACCGGCTGGCAGGAATACACTTATGCTCAATTAAATAAAGTGCAAACCTAAATCAAATGTTTTACATGGTTAAATGAAACCACTTAAATTGGCAAAATGAACTTCCAAAGACCATAAATTCTCTAATACTGCTATTTAATGGATTCTAGTTTTACGTTTCCTGGTGCCAGATAATAATGCCTGCATTTGATATAGAGCTTTATCACGACCTCAAAGTGCCTCACAGAATATACTGTATAAAGTGAATTGACTGTGTATTTTCTGGGTGAAAATCTCTCATTGGGATAACATGCGATATTAACCGATTTCTTAATGAGAACTGTGGCCATGTCCAAATCTCTTGAAAAGATTGCTCGTTCTGAAGAACACATTCAACGGGTGTTTTAGAAATTCGGCTGTGGATTCTTTCAATTCGATCGACGTTTTAAAAAGTTGACTATTGAGAAATCGGTTAAGAAATCCCATAAATTAGACCGCTATTGTTGACAACAAATGTTATTTGTATACCTCATTGTATGCCGGGAGGACGTCCCAAGGCGCTGAACATCCTTTCGACGTGAAAGGCGCAATAAATTAGACAACGGGGGTCTAATCTATGTAATTTCCTAACAGCACAGGAGGGCAATAATTCTCCAGATACTTTTCAACCTTTAAGTTTTGATTATCTCCATAGCACTATGTGATCCTGTGGGACTTTAAACCTCTTTGATTGTAACCTTGGCCAACTAGCCCCTACCCTGCTCTGGCTCCAAAAACAACAACAACAAACTCCACCAAGTTTCTAAAGAAGCGATTGGCACCATATAAAGTAGGCGTGTGTTTACCTGAACTTTAATGCTCTCACCGATCTCGCTGGCTCAGCAGTGACAACACCCGTCAAAGGTGTGAGTCAACTCTGGTGGACTCAGCGATACAATAGCTGAGCCAGGTGGACACATAATGCTCCAGGGCACTGCTCGTGTCTAACCTGCTTGCCTGGTTCGTTGGTAGGGTTCAGCATGAGGAGGATCCGAGAAAAAGGGATGTAAAGGAGAGTTTCAGATCCTGGGGCAAAAGGACTCAACATACACTCCTGCGTTAATTACCCCGACATAATCTAAAGTATGTTTTGCCGACATGCTTGGCGCTTTAGCACGGAGGAAAAGTGGGGAAATGCCATTAAAAGATCTGTTACTGTGTCATGAATTGGGGGAGCAGGCTTGATGGGCTGATTGGTCTCCTGTTCCTATCTACCTGATTTCCTCGAAGGTTCAGCACTCTATGGACCAGTCAGAATCAGAAGGTTGTGGGTTCAAGTCTCACGTCGGGGACTTTGAACTCACTTTGTCCAGGTTGAGACTCAGATACAGTCCCAAGGGTGTGCTGCATTGTTTAAGGTGCTGTCCTTCGGGTGAGATGTTAAACTGATGTCCATGTCTGCCTACACTGTACAGGTGGACTTTAAAAGATCTGGTGGCACTATTTGAAAAGAAAAGGGAGTTTCTCTTGCTATCCTGTCCAACAATCCAACAGATACAAATCAGTAATTCTCTTCATGGCTGTTTGTGAGACATTGCTGAGTACAAATTGGCTCTCTCGTTCATCTCCATACAAATGCGCAGTCAATACAATTACCATTAATCCTGTGAAGGGCTTTGAGACGTCCTCCCGTCAGGAAAGGTGACCGATCAAGTATAAGGATTATCATTTT